GTGAACATTGCTGCTGTGAACATCAGTATACAAATATCTCTTTGAGACCCTGTTTTCAATTCTGTGGGTTATATACCCAGAAGTAGAATTGCTGGATCATATGATAATTCTATTTCCTATTTTTGAGCAACCCCCGTATTGATTTCCATAGGGGCTGCACCATTTTATATTCTCACCAACAGTGCACAAACTAGGAAACATACAATTAGTTTAAGAAAAAATAAGGTTTTTTCCTAATTGCACTCTAGATTATGTCAAAGGGAAAACATTTAGAAATCTTAAGACTTTTACCTCTTCAAATTTTAGATGGGTTGCTTTTCAGAATGATTTTTCTAATCAACATTTTATGAAATCCTCTAGCTGATAAAAGGCTAAACATTTACATTCTTCTCAAGAATTGAATGAATTTTTATGTATTAACACAGATGGTATTCCAGTTTTTACCATGCTCAATGCAGCGAGGGATCATTAATTTTCAGCATCCATGCCCTTTCGGCTCCCTGGTCTCTCCTCTCCTTCACAGCCACATTTCTAATGGCACTGGCCAGGGTCACTGCCCCCTTTCCTCCTCTCATGGTCTCTCCTTAGGTCACTCCAGTCCAGCATCCATCCCCATTACTCCCCTGAAACTGCATGGGGGTCCCCATGGCCCCCATGTTGACAATTCCAATAGGTGGTTAATATTATGGGTCAACTTGACTGGAATAAAAAACACCCAGATAGCTGGTGAAACATTATTTCTGGGTGTGTCTTGTTTCCGGAAGAGGCTAGCATTTGCTTCAGTACACTGAGTAAAGAGATGTGCCCCTCACCAACGTCAACGGGCATCATCCAATCCGGTGAAGGCCCAGATGGAACAAAAAACCCACAAAGGGCAAATTCTCTCTCTTCTTGAGCTGGGACGTCCACCTTCCTGTCTTTGGACATCAGAGTCCCTTGCTCTAGGACCTTCAGACTCCAGGACTTACACCACCAGCCCCCTGATTCTCAGGCCTTCAGAGTCAGACTAACTATTCCACCAACTTTTTTGCTCTTTAGCTTTTGCAGATCGAAGCTCGTCGGACTTCTCGGCCTCCATGACTGAGTGAGCCAATTCCTTCATGTATCTCCTCTTATACAAATCTATGTATCCTATTGGTTCTCTTTCTCTGGAGAACCCTAACACAGTCGCTGTTCAGTCTCCATTTCAGTTTCTGAGTGCCTGTCGACCTAATGTTGAGCATGCACAGGGGAATAAGAATAGAGTGGGGAGAATTACATAAAACTCCTCTGCTCAAACCCTCCAACTCCAGATCACTCACAAGAAAGTCTAAAGTCCGCACAGTGGCCTACAAGGCTCTAAAGGTTCGCCCCCGTAGGGAGACAATTCTCTATGAATCTCTTATATTTCTGCACTTCTTGGAGCAGAGGTACTGGAGGCCTTTATTTCGACTATCTTTTCAAGGACGTTTATATAAAGAACAGCCTTGGAAGAGCCTCTCCATCTGAGGCAGGGGATAGTTTTGTCTGCTGTCCAGTGTAATACTGTCTCCATCTGGGTCAAAAGTCAGCCAGGTTTGCCTGCAGTCCATTATGAAAGACTGGGGCTCCCTAAGCTCTGGGTTCTTCAGCTGTGACGCAAATCCACTCTATGGGCAGCATCCACCTGGGCTGCTCTGCATCACCCCAGAGGACTTGTCGGGGGGCAAGTGCAAAACACACCAACATGAAGCTCAGGCTTTGAGGTAATAAAATCCTTTGTCTCTGCCCCAGGAGTCTCGTGTTTGCCAGTATCCATGGAAGTGTGCCTGGCTAGCTCATTAGGTAAAGTCTCAGAACCTTCCCACTTCTTAACCACCTACCCCACACCTTTCTCACCTCACCTCCTGCCACTACTTCCCTTTTCACCCTGCCTGGCTAAGCTGGCCTCCCAGCTGCTCCTGGAAGCTGCCATGAACACTCCTCCTTGAGGCCTCTGCACATGCTGTGCTGTCAGCCTGGAACATGTTACCCCCAGATGTCCTTCAGGTCCTGTCCAAATGGCACCTTGGTGGGGCCTTCCTTGACTACTCTCTACAACAGCCTCGCCACCAATACACGGGTCGACTTTTGCCAACCTGATGGGTGAAAACGGTATCTCAGTGAGTTTTAAATTTCTTAACTTTTGTTATTTTCTGTATTTATTATATTTCTATTATGAGTTTATTATGATTAAGAGCCATGTGTATTTCTTTTCCTGATAATTGTGATTCTCTCCTTGTCTATTTTTTTTAACAAGTCTTTTTCATGTTAATTTTTCACTTGCCTATGATGGGATTACACATATTTTTTCTCGTCATCTGTCTTGAGTTTACGGTGTCATCACTGTTGCTGTTTTGCCATATAAAATACTTTTATTTTTCTGTGGTTAAATTTATCAATCTTTTCTTTTATGGCTTCTGGATTTTCAATCATAGCCAGAAAGCCCTTCTCTATTCCAGGATTATAAGGAATTCATCCATGCTTTTTAAAAATTTTTCTAGTACTTTTATGGTGTCATTTTTAAACATATATATCTTTTTTTTTTTTATTTTTTTTTATTTTATTTTTTTTAACATCTTTATTGGGGTATAATTGCTTTACAATGGTGTGTTAGTTTCTGCTTTATAACAGAGTGAGTCAGTTATACATATATATATGTTCCCATAAAACATATATATCTTTGAATCATTTGGAACTTACCTGATGTGGCATGTGACTTATAAATTCAACTTTTAGGTTTTCTTGACAACCCAACTGTCCCAACCCTTTTATTATTTATTTATTTTAAGCACATAATTGAAACACTTCTTAAAAACGTACTCTGAAAAAAATTGCTTACGTGCATGACAATGCCTCTTTCACCCATTTTAGAGGTGGGTACACTGTAGTTTGGGGCATTTGTCAACTTGACCAAGGCTGCCTAGCTGGTAAATGAAATTTGCAGCTCTCCTGAGAATCTGCCTGTGTGCTCCCTCCCTCCTCCTGAGTCCCCCAAGTCATCCTTGTGGTTTGGAAGCCTCTTACCTTACAGCCAGGCTTCTAACAAGGCCCGGTAGTCCAACGCATTAACTTGCATCATTAACTTGCACCGGGGCCAACTTGCGCCTCCAGGTGTGCACACTGGGGTTCCAAGCCCTCTGGACATAGTTCCCCTGGTTTAGTCAAAGCTGGGGAGAGGCCTCAGAACACAGCCTGACCCCTTTCAAATGTGTCTGGGCAGGATTTACACTCAATGCAGAAGACCCATAGGATGAAAGGAGGGGGAAGGTGGTGAGCTTGCCTATCCAGCCCCCTCTGAGTATTGTTGGAGTTGCCAGGTGCCATTTTATCTTTTTAAAATTTTATTGTTTAAAATTAACTTTTGGGGACTTCCCCAGTGGTCCAGTGGTTAAGACTCGTTGCTTCCAATGCAGGGGGCGCAGCTTCGATCCCTGGCTGGGGAACTAAGATCCCACGTGCCACGCAGCGTGGTCAAAAAATAAAAAAATAAATAAAATTAACTTTTATTGGAATATAGTTGATTTACAATGCTGTGTTAGTTTCTGCTGTACAGCAAAGTGAATCAGTTATATATATACATGTATCCTCTCTTTTTTAGATTCTATTCCCATATAGATCATTACAGAATATTGAGTAGAGTTCCCTGTGCTATACAGTAGGTCCATATTAGTTATCTATTTTATATATAGTAGTGTGTATATGTCAATCCCAATCTCCCATTTTATCCCTCCCCCCTACCCAGATGCCACTTTAATTTTATTTCTGCATGTATTTGAGTTTATATCTGTACTTCGTTCCATTGGTTTGTGTGCCTTTTTGTGCACTAATACCAAACTGTTTTAATTACTGAGGATCTATAATGTTTTAATATCTGATAGTGCTGGATCCCTCTCATTGTTCTGCTTCTTCAGAGCCTGTTTTCTGACTATTCTTGTTTATTTTTCCATTTGAATTTTAGGAACAAACAGGGTAGTTTAAAAAACACACACATAACACTCCTCTTTCACTTTGCCAACTGGACTTACGTCTTTATTGGTCATTCAAGTGGGGCAAAGGAAATACCCTTTTAAAACTCAAGTAAACGGGGTGTTTGTCTCGTAACCTGTCAGAGGAAACAAACTGTAATAAAAACACACACATAATAATTAATCTTATTAGTTCTTTTATAGGAATCAGGTTAAATTTGTAACTTTACTTACAGAAAATTGAGATCTTTATGATAGAGTCTTCCCATCCAAAAGCATCATTCATCTTTCCATTTGACTCAGTTTTCTTATCTGTAAAATCGGAGTAATAATACCAATCTCATAGGGCTGTCCTCAGAATTAAATGAGAAAATGCAGGTGAAGGAACCAATGATTTGGTTTGGAAGCGATTTGCCACTTCCTAGGGTATGAACTCGGGCTTGGTTACCACAGTATTCTGAACTTCGGTTCTCATTTGTAAACTGGGGATAACAATAGTATCTGCTTCACAGGGCCGTAATGAAAGGGTCAAATGAAATGAGGCCTGCAAAGTACTCAGTGCACTGGAACATAAGTACTCAATGAATATTAGCTGTTCTTCTAGAAAACAGGCTATCCCAGGGAACTGCGATTTAACGCAGAAGCTCGCTGGGATCCATCTTAGGTCGAGGGCTCTGAGGTCAACTCTTCCTTCCGAGAACCTACCTACCTGCCGGTCGCCACTTCTGATTTTCCCCCAGCGTCTGGGAACGCACTCGGTCGGATTTGAAGCCGTCTAGGTCCCCCGCGAGACTCCAGGATGACGCCCCCACCCTCCGGGTCTTGGCGCTGCCACGTCTCGCGGCTCCCGCACTCCCTACGGGAGGAGGCGGGGCCAAGTCGGGCCCGCCCCCGAGAGCCTTCGTCTCGCCTGAGGCCCGCCCCTCCGCTGTCCCAGTCGCTGGTAGGGCGGCACGGGGTGTCAGAGCGCCGTGACGCTACGACGGGGCGGGGGCGAGCACGCGCTCGGAAGTCCCGGGGGAGGGGGTGTTACGTATATCCGGCGAGTAGGTGGCGGTCCAGGGTGTTTCTGGGCTCTGGGCTCTGTGCTCTGAGGGAGGGTTCAAGCCGCCTGCCGTCGCCGGAGGAGCCCCTTAGGCCGTGAGTCGGGGGCCGCGGCGAAGGAGGGAGCCGGGGCCGGAGCGGCTGGGGTGGCCGGCGGAGAGAGTCGGGGCGGAAGCCGGCGCAGGCGGGATTGTGGGGGGGAAGTGACACGCAGGCGGTTCTGTGGGGCCGCGGGACTCGTTCTGGGCGGGGACGGGCCGGCTTGGCCGGGTCTGCTCGGTCCCCTGCCGACCTCTCGGGTATCGGGTCCATCAGCATTCCGCTCCGGGGTCTTGCAGCTACTGGGCAGGATAACAGTTTTCCTGTCGGTACCGTGCGCTCCGGTTTACGAATCGGCTTCACATCCCCTGTCTCGGATGAGCTTCAGCCCTCGGTGGGGTGGATTGAAGTCCTTGATGATTATCCTTTTTTTTTTTTTTTTTTTTTTTTTTTTTTACAGATTCGGGGACTAAGGCTCGTTGAGGCACAGTGAATTGCCCAAGGCCCCGCAGATAGCAAGTGTGAGCGTTCGAACCAGATCTCCTGGCTCCTAGTCCAGGGCTCTCCCCACCCCCACTTCAGCTGTGTGTTATCATCTGCTGCTGTCCTGGGTCGAACCCCGTGTTTTCTTCTTCCACTTCCCCCTTTTTCCCCCTCTCTCTTCAGTGCATGGAAAAAAATCTCTGTTAGTATTCTCCCTTTTTCTTGTCTTTTCTCCTTTACCGCGGTGCATCTGCTTAGATTTTGACAGGGGGCCTTACAGAGTTTTGCAATGGGGCTGACCTTTGACGTTTACCCTGCAGCCAAGCACAGTCTCTTAGCTAAAAACCAGCGGCTTGCTACCCCCAGATCTGTCTGAAACGGTGTCTTCAGGTTGCTCTGAGCATGAATAAGAAGTAATGAGTATGTATAAGAAGTGATGCATAGATTTTTTATTGGTTAATTGTCAGTCTGGTGCTCCTCCTTGTTATTTATTTGAATCAGTCAGTCCTGAAATTTGCAAATGTTAGTTTTAGGTATGTTGGCAGTGCTTTTGTTGGTAGTTAGAGCCCTTAGATTGTAGTCTAATTTGCCATAAGGTTCCATAAGGTGGTAAAGTGGATCAAGGATAGAAAAGGAATAAAATGCTGGTTATTAATATATCGTTCAGAAGTTGTGATGAGTTGTAAGGAAGAAAACAGCAGGTTATCATCTGTGTAGTTGGTAGTTTAAGGAAGCTTTATGTTTTTTTAAAGCAGTTTTGTGATTTGCGTTGGAATTTTATGTGATATTAACAGGAAGAGCTTTGGCTTTGGCAGTAAAAGAGGAGGGTTTAAGTCCTGGCATTGTTACTTTTTCAGCTGAGCAGTCTTTGTTATGCTAGCTAATCTAGGACCATCAGCATCCTCATCTTGTTAAATGAGGCTAAGGATTCTTACCTCATGGGGTTGGTGTGAGGCTGAAATGAGGTGTATGTGCAGGCACTGTATAAACTGAAAAACTGCTCACGAGGGGGTACAAAGCCTAAGATCTCAAGGATGGAGGAGCCATCAGAGACATTTCCTTAACTTTGGGTAACAATACAGTGCAACTCTTTGGGTCCAGTAAGGGGTTTTATTATTTTTTAACATCACCTGAAGAGTTTCTTCAAGTACTTTCTGTAGATCATTTTGGAGGGAAGAATTATGGGACTTTTAAAGCAGGGATGTCAAGGGAAAATAAATTGGAAAGTCAAAGTAGTTCAGTTAACCATGAAAAATTCCCTAAAATGGGCTTTTCCCCTTGTCACCTTGGGAGAATTTATCTAGTTGGGAATACTTCTACAATGATGTAGTAAAACTTTACAAGCTGTCTAGAAAGTAATGACTGCAAACCAGTGTAGTATAAATGAATATATAAGTGTTGGGTTTTAAAGTCGTAATCATTGGGAGTGACCTTAATGAGAGGTGCTCTCTAAAGGTAAGCCCTGCTTCTCCAAGTGGTAGACGGAGAAAATAGGGAAGGATGACTGGTTTGGTGGGATTGCAGAGGAGAGGCACATTGTTCTTTTACTTAACATACAGTGAAAACTTAAGCACAGGAACTTTGTAAGCATATTTAAGTCATTGGACTTCTTAAAGTAGAGACAAAGTTTCCGGACAAAACTATTATTTAACATACTAAATTTGGTTTTTCTGCCAAAATATATTTTGATGTTTCTGAAGCGGGGAAAAAAACCTTATTTAGTATCCTTTTTTTTTTTTGGCCGCACTGCGCGGCATGCAGAATTTCCCTGAACAGGGATTGAACCCGTGCCCCTGCAGTGGAAGTACGGAGTCTTAACCACTGACCACCGGGGAAATCCTAGGATCTTTCTATAAAAGCTTTTTCCTTCAGCCTCCACCCCACCCAAACTCCCAAGCTTCATTTGGCCCTTCTATGGTAAGAGCCATAGACGATAAGCACTAAAGCAGTCCCTAAAGTTTACAGGTCAGGCCACAGGCCTGATTTTTAAAAAACGCAGTAATTGGATGAAAAAGAAAATTAACACATACTGTCTCCATTTTTCAATTTCTTCTTCATCTAGCATTCTTTGAATGAAGAATATAGGTGGGTTTTTGTGGCTAACCCTTTTACAGTAAACTTCTGTTTACTTTTTTTTTTTTTTTGGTGGTACACGGGCCTCTCACTGTTGTGGCCTCTTCCGTTGCGGAGCACAGGCTCCAGATGCGCAGGCTCAGCGGCCATGGCTCACGGGCCCAACCGCTCTGCAGCATGTGGGATCCTCCCGGACCAGGGCACGAACCTGCGTCCCCTGCATCAGCAGGCGGACTCTCAACCACTGCGCCACCAGGGAAGCCCTGTTTACTTTTTTTTAAAAACAAAACTTCAGCAAATTTGTTTGATAGCGCTTGGCCACCTTGTGTTCAGGTGTTCTTGCTGATGGAGAGGAGTGAAAGTGGGGGAATCATCCTTTTTTCTGCACCAGATCTGAGATACTGAGGCAGAAGTTCATTGTGATCAGGACATGCTGACTCTGAGAAACCTTAACACCCACCATTGGCTCTAGATCCTACCCTCTTAACATTCAGAGGTCCTCTTGCTTATTCCCCAGTGTATGTTGACCTTTTAGGAGCTTCCGGTCATCTTCTGTTTTGTCTAGGCTTATGAGAAACAGTAGAAAAAGTGGTGTTAATATCAGTATTGAGGTACGTCCTTGGCTAGGAACCTACCTCTATGCCCTGAATGAGTATTCTTATTTTAAGAAAGTCCATATTTGTAAAATGGGTTTGGTAGGTCTCGATTATTCACATTATGATCGGATTCTCTTATCTCTTCATGGCTCTCCATTATAGTGATATCATCTTTTTTTAAGTTGAGATACATATTATAAGAGGGGTTAAACAAATATTAAGAAGAGATAGCATTGGTAAATGGAGCAGTGCAAATTGTGCCAGCCAGTAGGATTTTGGTGACCTTGTTTTTTAGAGTTGTTTGCAAGGATGGGTTAATATGCTTTTCATTCAGGTTAATATGCCTTTATTCTTATTTTCTACTTAGTGCATCAGTGTGACATTTTGATCCAGATTATTGATGGGGCTGATTTCCTAGAAGTTTTGCTAACTGGTAGACAGCAGTGGTGTATCTAGGGAATGCGAATGAGCAGCTGCCTGGAGGAGTGACTCACACAGCAAAAGAGGAAAGTATCTTTAACTCCTAGTCTTCTGAGTATCATAGATTGAAAACTTAGAAAACCAGAAGTTTGTGCAGATCTGAGGACCCCAGAGACTTCCCTCCAGAGTGCACAATCCTTTGTTTTCTTATGTCCCAAAACATGGGACTGTAAACATGCATCAGGGCCAGCGAATGAGAGTTAACTTCTCCAGAAATATACTAGCATTCAGAAAGCTAATGTTTGCTGCTTTCCTATTTTATACAGGTAGTAAGCATTAATAATGTCTTTCATCTTTGAGTGGCTCTACAATGGCTTCAGCAGTGTGCTCCAGTTCCTAGGTAAATCCATTTCCTTGAAATATATCATAGGTTTCAAACTATGTGTATTTCCTGTAACCATTTAAATGTTGATACAAGTAGGCTTTGGTGTGTGGAGAGCAAATTATGTTAACTTTTTTTTTTTTTCTTTTTTAGGACTCTACAAGAAATCTGGAAAACTTGTATTCTTGGGTTTGGATAATGCAGGCAAAACCACTCTTTTACACATGCTCAAAGATGACAGATTGGGCCAACATGTTCCAACATTACATCCGAGTAGGTTTGAAAATACCTGGTGACCTTTTGATATTTGAGGGTCAGTGTCAGGGCTGTAGGATGAATCCCAAGTTGATTCAGTTCTGTTATTAACTGAAGCCCCAAAAGACAGCTTACTTGAAAAAAATTCCTTATAGGACACACTCAGGTCAAATACCCATAAATCTAAACCTCTGGAACTTTGTCACTATCTGTTCTCACTAGTCCTGCAATGGGACACATCTCCCATATCTACTTCTAAGGAGCAGCAAACACTTTGGAGGAAAAGAGACTTGGCTTTTTAGAATTATTTAAGAGTGTTTTCACCCTTGTGTCCTTTTCTTTACATAGTGAAAGCTTCATTAGGTTTTGCATTTGTATTGGATTAGAATACTGGTAGTTGGGCCTTGTTGGATAGAGAAGTTTATTTCCTTCCTTTATTTTTCAGCATCAGAAGAGCTGACAATTGCTGGAATGACTTTTACAACTTTTGATCTTGGTGGGCATGAGCAAGGTACGAGATGATTCAGTGGAAGGGTGGTTGACTTCTGGTTCATTTTGTTCACCTTTTTTAAAGCAGTGTGCCATATATACCTTTTAAATTGCTTGAGATCTTACTTAATGAAGTTGTTTTATTCACTTATTATTTTTAAGTAATTTCAAACTTGCCAGAAGTTGCATAAATAATACAGAGAACTCCCCTCCTTTATAACTTTTGCCCAAATTTATTAGTCTCCCTCTCTGTGTAGTACACGTTAATATTTATTTTTCTTGACCCTTTTGTGAGTTCATCATGTTCTTTTACTCCTTAAATACTTTAATGCATGTTTCCTAATAACAAGAATATTCCCTTATATAATCATAATAATTATCAGACCCAGGAAGCTTTGTCTACTCTATAGTGTATATTCCCTTTTTTTGTCATTTGTTCTAATAATCTCCTTTATAGCATTTTTCCTCTTATGCAAGATCCATTACAATATCACATATTGAATTTAACCCTGTCTTTATTGTATCCGTTATTCAATGGAGTTAAAGTATGTAGGAAATTTATTTGTAAGTAATTTTAAATTTGTCAAAAGTTGCAAAAATAACACAGTGACTATTTGACCACCGTGATCTGAACTGATTTTTGTATACTCTCCCCACTTGGGGCAGTTGGTGGAACATTTTCTTCTGCCTTCTTGCTCTCCATTTGGTTCCCAGTTCTTGTCAGGTGTTTTGGAGATATGCAGAATGGGGCACCTTTACCCAATCAATGCCCACTTTACATTTGGCAAGACTCTAGGCTTAGGAGTAAAACATTTAAGATGTGGGAATAAATATTCTGGGAAGGTAGAAGAAAGAACCTATTGAGATTCTGTCAGGTTTACTCATTTGTTATTAAATTGAGTTGAGATGTCTCCTTTTGGAGCATTATGTTATTAGGTTGAATCTAATACAGTTTTTTTAAAAAGTATAGTTAAAAAAAATAGAATATTGGTAATTGTAAATGTAAAGTCAGATAATTTTAGCTAGAAGGCTGAGAAGAGATCCAAATAATTTTATAGTCAGTGATTTCATTAACGTATAATTACATTTATTTTATTCATTTATTATTTACATCCTACAAAATCATTTATGTAGTATGAGCACCATCACATAAAATACCTATACAGAAGAAAGATTGAAAGAAAGTATACAGAAACATTAGCAATGGCTGTGTATTGATGGAGGATTATAGATTATCTTGTTTCCTTTTTCTCTGTAATGAGCTTGTATTATTTCCATTTGGGTAGGGATGGGTGTATGGTCTCTTTTCTGCTTCTTTCAAAAGTATTTGTAACTGCTTACAAGTTTAAATTCAGAGGTAACGCGGTTATAAGCTGAACTGAGACCATCTGGAGAATGCAGAAGGAGTAGGTGTTTTTAGACACCTGAACTGGGAATTGTGTATTATTTGGTGTGATAAATTTAGCTTTCAGGTTTTTATAGAGAAGGGAAATGCGTTTATGTACAGATGGTCCTCAACTTAATGATGGTTTGACTTAAGATTTTTTGACTTTATTGTGATGCAAAAGTGATACGTATTCAGTAGAAACTGTACTTCAGATTTTGAATTTTGATCTTTTCCCAGGCTAGCCACATATGGTATTGTACCATACATAGTCTCTCATCATGCGGGGCAGCTCCCAGTCAGCCATGTGATCCTGAGGGTAAACAACTGATATACTTACAGCCATTCTGCACCAATGCAACCATTCTCTTTTCCACTTTCAGTACAACGTTCAATAAATTACATGAGAGATTCAACACATTATAAAATAGGTTTTCTGTTAGATGATTTTGCCCAACCGTAGGCTGATGTAAGTGTTCTGAGCACTTTTAAGGTAGGCTGGGCTAAGCTCTGCTTGGTAGGTGTATTATGACTTATGAGATTTTCAAATTACGATCGATTTATGGGGACATAACCCCATTATTAGTCAAGAAAAATCTGTACATAGTTTTTTTGTTTTTGTTTTTGTTTTTTCGGTACGCGGGCCTCTCACCGCTGCGGCCTCTCCCGCCGCGGAGCACAGGCTCCGGACGCGCAGGCCCGGCGGCCATGGCTCACAGGCCCAGCCGCTCCGCGGCACATGGGATCCTCCCGGACCGGGACACGGACCCGCACCCCCTGCATCGGCAGGCGGACTCTCAACCACTGCACCAACAGGGAAGCCCCATAGTTTTGTTTTGTTTGAGCAAAATTTACTTAACGGAAACACTTTTTCATGATAACCTAGCCACAATTTTACACAAATTACTAAAATGCTATACATTTGGAGGTTTCCTTTTTTTTTTTTTTTTTTTTGGTATAACTTAAAAATTTTAACTTATGCAAGTAGTCCAGGCTCAATGTCACAAATTCAGTATACAATCAGTATTCAAATATGGGAGGTAAAAGTGAAATTCCCCGACCTCCCCTTCCCAGTCCCACTCTTCAGAGGTAACCATTGTTAAATGTTTGATGATTTTAGACACCTAGAGGTGTTTTCTTAATCATCCCATTGAAAGGACCAGAAACGAATGGCTTAGAAATTATAATACAATTAAAGCATTACTTCCCAGACCATTATCACTTCATGTCATAAACAAAAAAATAAAATTTATAGGGCACACTGGGTTAACTAAGGAAACTGAGGTAATTGGCCTGGGACCTTAAACCACCTGTCAAGCCTAGTCTCCCTATAGGCTGCGTGGATGAATGTGTCAGTACACTTACACAGTGGTTACTTAGGAACACATTGGTTACTTGGGACGAAAGTTATATTGAAAAGTAATTTGCATCCTGATATTTTAACTCAGAGGTTGCAAACTAAAATGGCTCCAGGGGTGAGGTAGGTGATTTAAGTGAGTGAAATTGGGAGTAAGTAGGGAGTGGTGGTAACTCTTTCAGACTGAAGAACTAAGACCTCATCTAAAGGGGTAGCCACCACTCAGTTCCAGCTGATTATTATCCATCCAGCATGTGGATAGATAGGCATGGGATTGCCAGGTGTTGCACTTTTTCAGAAAATCAGGCAGAAAACCCTGATTTTCAGATTTTAAAAAATCAGATTCAGTTCATGGACCATCAGTTTATATCCTCTGTTCTGACTTAATACTGGCTAGGGTTTGGAGAATCTATACAGAGTCTAATGCTATTGAAACCTGGCCAGGATTTGTCTACTTTATAGACCATTAGGTTATTCATTTTCAGCATATACGTTTTTAAATTGATGCAACTGCAAACTTTGTCTTTTAGCCCGTCGAGTTTGGAAAAATTATCTCCCCGCAATTAATGGGATTGTCTTTCTGGTGGACTGTGCAGATCATCCTCGACTCATGGAATCCAAAGTTGAGCTTAATGTATGTTTATATTTTTTTCCTTTCTTGGCCTCTGTTTAAGAAATACAGCTCAGTAGTGCTAATACTTAATCATTCCAGTTAACATTTGGTAAAAGTTCTAGTTACAGGAAGAAAGTGTTTTAAAATCTAAGACATTGCATTTCGATGTTCTGAGGAAACTTGGCTTGAACACAAGTAAATTAACTTTGCTTGTATCTATCATAGGGTGACTCTTTGTGCAGTTTGCTCAGGACACTCCTCAGTTAATGCCTGTTTTCCCAGCATAATTAATGTCTTTCCCTTTCACATATCACATATGTTCACTGTTTATGAAGTGTTGGCATAGTGAAACCTTAAAGGAGATATTAGTGTTCTTTGCGTTTTTGAATCTGTGTTCTCAGGTTGTGCCTGCCCACTCTTGCACTGAGTGACTTGTCAGACCTTAATAGTCTGTTCTGTCTTCAGTTTCAGTCACATGCAGTGTTTGATACTAACTAGGACTCACCTCAAGTTTCTTCCTTTCTCAACATTGCATTTTCTTGGCTTGATAATTTCTGTAATGTTGCCTTTGTAATGCCAACTGTGTTACCCTGTGCCTCAGTCTTTCTCTTTGATTTACAACTCTTTCTGCATTTTTGTTCCTGGCAATTTGAACCTCTCAGGTTTAAGTATGTTTGTTGAATCTGAAGCTCTAGTCTCATGGAGAATCGCCTACAGGGCAGTCCTTCCCTTACTTGACCCCTTGGCACTGGTCATTCTCCCTCTAAATTTCCCTTTACATTCTTGGTTTTGGTGCTTTCTCTCTGGCTGATACTTCTCAGACTCTTTCACAAGCACCCATTCTCCTCCTTAGCCCTTAAATCTTGGTGTTTTCCCAGGCTGGTCCAGGCTTCTCCCATTCCTTCATCTGCAACCCACATGCCAGTGACCCCCAGATGGATTTCTCTTGTTTAAACCTCTCTTGTGCTCCAGCCTCATACATAATGCTACTTATTAGAAACTCTACCTACCATTTCTGTTCTCCCAGAATGGAACTGTTCATTTTCCCTCATCTACGTGGACATGCAGTGAATTACTGTAGATTCCACCACCACCCTGCCATATACTAATGCTGGAAGGAACTTACTCAGACTTGTCTTTGCCCTACTTAATATTCTTGAATAGATCTCGTATCACTTTGGTGATGAAATCCACAGATCTTTTGCTTAGCACATAAGCTCTTTCATGATCTTTCCTCATTTATTTCTTCAGCTTTTCTCTCTGTTGCCTACCTTGAACTACATTCCAAACATAGATAACAACTTGTTCTCCCTTGCGTATGCAGAAGTAACTGTCTCTGCCTGGTTTTCTCACCTGACCCTTACCCCATTTTGCTGGTAAATTTCTAAATGTCCTTTTAAGAGATTTCAGAGTTCAGGTATGACTGCTTCTGGGAAGCCTTCTCTGACCTCTCAGACTGTTAAACTCTCCATCTTATCAGTGTCTGTTGTCTTTGCTGATTTTCTTTTAGGTCTCTTCCATCGGACTGTGAACTTAGATGGTAGGGACCTTGTCTTATTTCTTTGTGAAACCCCTGTACCTAGTAAAGCCTCGGGCACATAATACGCACTTTGTTAGTATTTAATGAATGAATGACATTCTTACTCTGATTTTGTATAACATTTCCTGGAACTTGAGATGTTCAAAGTAGGTTTCTCTTCAACTCTGCTCTTCTTTCCTAGCTTTTCCTGTCAGTGAAATAGATTCCCAGGCTTGAAATCTCTGCCAGCTTCGACTCCTGTGTTATCTGTCTTATCATTTAGATATCAGTCTCTTCACTTTTTTCTCCAGAATGCCTGCTTCACTATTCATTACATGCTGCTAGCTTAGGTTAGATCATCATCCCTTACCTGAGCACCACAGGTAGATACTATTTGCAAATTCATTGTACTAAAAGTGTAGATTCTATCTAATAATTTCTGGATTTGGGGTCTTTGGGATCTATTGTAGCTGACTTCTCAGACTGGCACTATAATGCTTGTCATCCCTTCCCAACCCATTTACTCTGTCAACACATGTCACCATAAATGCTTTAATCCAGCCAGGTGATACTCCATATGGCTTCCTGAATTCTTTTCCTGCCGTAAAGCCATTGCTTATATTCTTCCTTCGTTGGATTCTGCCTATCCACACCCTGCCCCTCCTTCAGAGTCCAGTTTAGTTTCCACATCTTCGCTAAGACTTTCCTCAAGCCCACATTGCCATCTTATTTTCCTGAACGTCTTTTAATATTTATATTCTCTTCCTATTCATTGCGACCCTTAATCATCCACTTGCCTTGCTTTGCTGACAGATGAATATAGAGTGAGGATTTCTTGAGCCAGGGATATGTCTTACCTTTCCTTTTTTTTTTTTTTTTAAATTTTATTTATTTATTTATGGCTGTGTTGGGTCTTCGTTTCTGTGCGAGGGCTTTCTCTAGTTGCGGCGAGCGGGGGCCACTCTTCATCGCAGTGCGCGGGCCTCTCACTATCGCAGCCTCTCGTTGCGGAGCACAGGCTCCAGACGCGCAGGCTCAGTGGTTGTGGCTCACAGACCCAGTTGCTCCGTGGCATGTGGGATCTTCCCAGACCAGGGCTCGAACCCGTGTCCCCTGCATTGGCAGGCAGATTCTCAACCACTGTGCCACCAGGGAAGCCCCTTACCTTTCCTTTTGTCTTCCTCTCAGTGTCGGAGATAGTGCTTTCTGCACATGGGACATCTAGTGGATATCTGGGGACTCTGGTAGTCATCTTTGAGGCTCTGTAGCCAGAGCTTTGTTCTTCTAGGACAGTACTCAGGGGAGAGCTGAGGATGGCTTGTGGCTGAGTGATTTAGCTCAGAGTTAAGGTTGGGCAGTTTTGCTGCCTTGCAGATAGACACAGCTTTACATTATAATTGTTTTGAAGCTGTTAGGGGATTTCTAACTAACGTCAAGGTAATTCTTAGGGGCTATAATGTCAAGATTAACTTTTAGTTATTCACTCAGGTATAAATATGGTCAGATTTTCACTTTACATTTGATACCTTATAGACAAGTGAAAGTCAAAGTTGTTTTCATTATTTGGTGGGCTTTTATAGACTCCTCACTCAACTCATTTTTTATCTTGTCTTTAGGCTTTAATGACTGATGAAACAATATCCAACGTGCCAATCCTTATCTTGGGTAACAAAATTGACAGAACAGATGCAATCAGTGAAGAAAAACTCCGTGAGATATTTGGGCTTTATGGACAGACCACAGGAAAGGCAAGAGAAAAATCTTCAGGGGACATATTATAAAGGAAATTCACAGCTTGTGAAACATTCATGTTGTGCTATCTAGATTTTACTTGTCTTTCAAAAGTAACTGGGCTTAGTATTTGTTTAACTAGAGGTGATGTTAGACTCTCTCAAGGCAGGAGCGTGTTCTTCTTTTAACTGTTTTCTAATGAGAGTTTCCTTGGGTATATAAGGATGAAGGAAATGGTAGAAAAAGCAAACTTGTCATTTTAACAATTTTCTGACTGTCTTTCAAATCCAGTTCTGAGAAATCAATTTTGAAAGCCCTCCTTAGCCAGACATTTTTTTCCACTGGAAATTTCAGATTATGAAGAGTGATCATTTATATCACTTTCCAAGCATTGAAAGCAGAGCACTGGGTTATCCTCAGTGCTCCTTGCTGAAAGAGGTAGGACTGTTACCTCTATTTTGAAGATGAGGAAACTCTGAGAGTTATTGGCTCAGGTCTACACAGCAAGTCAGTGATGAAATCAGGAATAGAACCCAAGTCTTCCAGGTTAGTAGGTTATGCTGTTTCCAGTAGGAAGGAGAACCCTGTTGCAGAAAAGTATGCTTGGGAGAGAAAAATCTAGAACAGCCATAATTACAGGAATCCTGGTCTTTTGAGCTTGGGGTTTTGGCATATTTAATTTTTTAAAATGTCGTTTTCTGGGATCTTTAACTTCCTGACTTTTTTGCATGGCTCCTTAGTCTTGCCTCTTGTTGGTTATCTAGTTCTTTCTAGAAATGCTTCCTTTAATTAATTAAGTTTTCCCTCTTACAGGCACATGAATTTTTAATTTTCTTAATGTAACCTGTCATTAGTGTATATTTCTGAATGCTTTTGTTAATGAGGATGTCCTTATTTCTAAGAAGTCCTGGACTTCTTTTGTCCATGAAAGAGCCTGCTGGTTCTGTGGGTCCCAGTGGCCTTTCTCTTGGTTTGCTGCCATAGCTTTCCAGATGCATGTTGGTGTGTTCAAAGCAAAGGCTCTTCACAATGAGAGGGAGAACCTGGTAATAGGACTGGGCTGCTTATCTGTCCTGAAAGCACGAACTCCAATGGCCTTGACCACATTTCTGTAATTAATCCCTACTCAGATTTGCTTTTGAGGGAAAGAAAAAGTGATTTTTGTTGTCACCCTTTCAAGCTTTTCCACATGGAGATGCTAATGGACCTTTCTTGATTTTGCCTCCCCTAGGGGAATGTGACCCTGAAGGAGCTGAATGCCCGCCCTATGGAAGTGTTCATGTGCAGTGTGCTCAAGAGGCAAGGCTATGGCGAGGGCTTCCGTTGGCTCGCCCAGTATATTGACTGATGTTTGGACAGTGAAAATAAAAGAGTTTTACTTCTCTGGACTGATCCTATTCACAGCTTCCTCATGAACTTTTCTAATAGAACAAGGAAAGCTCTCCGACCATGTCTGGCGTTGAGAAGCCAAGAGTCTCTGTCAGCTCTCTCATCGCCCAGTGGTGACATGTGCTCTTCTCCACACTGTTGGGAGGTAACGCTGCCCCACGTGCTGGTGCAGGTCAGCACCCCGGGACTTGGAAGTGGCAGGATTTGCCGGGTAGAGCTGTGTGCCATCATGGAGCACCTGGAAAGAAAAACACGTCTCACCACTGTGGTTGATTTCAAAAGAAAGCGATTCTATTTTTTAAAGAAAGTGTTATTAGTCTAATTGGTGACCCTCCTAATAACTTTTTGAGTTCACAATTTACTTGGTCCAGAGTTTGCTTTTTTTTTTTTTAAACTAGTGAATGGCATTTAGATACTTCATAAAATTATGCACAGATACACGTTGGAGGCCAGAGCTCAGTCAAATGAACAGCAGGCTGGTGAGAAAGGCTCCCGTCTCACTAACTGCCTTGTAGTAGGTGGCACCACCTTGTGCACAGAGCACTAGGAAAGGGCATAACCCCGGCTGTGCAGTTGAGGCCAGTTCCCACAGTCTCGGGCTACCGTGATTCCTCATCCCAGCATGCATAGCAGATTGTTCGCTGTGGAGGAGTTAATTGTAGAGTGGGTTATTGTTGTTATTTTTACTCATAAAGTTACAAAGTTTAGCCAGTCTTTACTTTTATGTAGTTGTGAAATTTCAGTTCCCTTGGTAGCACCTTGTTCATTTTCAGTCGTAAAAAGTGACTTTTGCCTCATGAAAGACTTGAGAACACATCCCTTGTTGTCACACACTGCAGGTGTGTCTCAGCCATTTTTGCAGATTCTAGGGGAAATTTTTCTGAATAGGAGAGTCACACAGGATGAAGTTAACAGCTTAAGCGCTCTTAACTCTGTGAGTTGAGAACTTAAAAATCTGGTATTGTAGCATTTGTTTGAATCTAGGAAAGATTCATTCATTGGGCTTTAAAATTTCCACTTGCAGAATTTGGTTTCTTTATTGGACTCTTCATGAGCTCTATTTTTTTTTTTATTGGTTATCAACTTATTTTTGATGTTAAAGGTTAACATCTGTAGCTTTTCCAGATTTTGGGGGTTGGGGTGGGGGATGTTAGGAAATTGCCTTTCTCCAGTCCAGAAATAATCTGGGGAAACTCTAAGCCAAGAACTTTGTGTTAAGCTGTACTTTTGGGCCAGCATCACTTGTCAGTAAGCACCTGGTATAAAAGCTTCAGCATCCCCCAGTAGTGTGATGAGGATTATTTTTATAGCATTCCATTTTCCTAATGCCACGTGTGAAATTGGATTATCGTGATCTTAACCAATGTTTTACCCTTGTAATAAAGGATGAAGGGATAGGAGATGGTCTTCATGTGGGAGAATATCTTCATTCATTTTTCCTTTAATGAAAGATAGGTATTTTCCTCGAAACTGAAAATTGTAATTCCGAGGCGTATTTGCAGAGGCCTGAACTAAATTCAGTGGATTGTTGCTTCTAATGTGAGGGCGGGGAAGGTGTGGATAATGTATTCCTGGGGTGAGAGAGTATCGTTCTTTAGCTGGATTTCCCAGGTGAGTACTGAAGAATGTTTCCCATTCTTCAGTACTCACCTGTTGGGAAAGCATGCTTTTTCACTGCTAGGTACCAAATGCAGAGGCTCAGTGAAGTATAAGGCTGGGAAGAGCATGCCTTTCATTTATTAGCAAGCATAGCTGGTTTGGAAAGGGGTTTAAGTGAACAAATCTAGCTAACAGTGAATGAACTAGCTAGTTAACTTGCATACTTCTAATTTTCTTTGGCTAAAGGTAACCCATACTTCTCTCTCCAGAGATACGAGAGGTATGATTGCTTCAGTGTTAGTTTTCTGGTTTTTGTTTTTTGTATTTGTCCCTAATCACTTTTTAGCAAGCTAGAAAACTGGATTCTACACAGGGCAGCTCTTTGTGAAGGTGGTTTATTTTGGCCACTGGAGAAAGTCGGGATTGAAAAATCAAGTGGCAGCAGTCTATTTCTTGCCCCACAAAAATAACATAGAGGAAAGAAGCCGCTGTGAGGAACTTGGCTCCTGACAGTTAGGGTCAGAGCTTTGTACTGGAAGTCCCATGAATTGAGACTTTTCATTCTGTTTTATCAGAGTGCATTTATGTCCTATTTCAGGAAAAGTAAAACAGTCATTTACAAAAGAAAGTCAATCTGTATCCTAAGCGTTTTAATAAAAAGTTAAAACAGATTTGGTATCTTGCTCCTTTTTTTTGGCATTGGTTTGTTCTGAGTATGAACATAGCATGACATTCGTTGTGGGGGGTGGGGCAAAAGTTCTTCCATACTTACAGGAAGAAATATTTACAACGGGTGTGAGAGACAGACTTTGCTACGGGGGGTGTGGGGTATGGGTGGAAAGGCCAGGGCAATTTACACATTCCACTGGAAGTAATAAATTTAGTACCGTTTGAGAGCCTTGGAACATGCAGTGGTCCCAGGATTGGTGGTCATTTATGCAACAGGAAGGACATGGCAGACTTCTGAACAAAATCTATTAACATGCTAGCAAGGACTGGGTCCAGTTTAGCTGTGTTTCATCATTTGATACAAAATTGGAGAGAATCCGGTTGAATGCTACATAAGACAAAATTGAAGTAATGAAACCTGTGCTTGTGCATTTACTAGGCTTGTAGGAAGCTTTGCTTTTAAAAAACCCAAATGAGGTTCTAAAACTAAAGTACTGGAATAAAATAGAATGGGAAGCAAAATGCACCAGGTTCTTTTTGACTGAGTGTTAAATTACTGGAGGCATCGAGATTGAAACTAATACAGTGGAATGATGCCATGGGTTTTACGCTTACATGGGTTTGTTTGTGTCATTTGAGTCAGAGCAGAACATGAAAATTAAAGGCTGAGTCAATGAGCCCAGCACTAGGGGGGTCTCACCTTGGCTGTTGACTGTGACTTGGGACTCCACTGTGATGTACCGTAAACAGAAAAACATGCAAACAGTTCATGCTGGAGGCTTGGGCGTCATTAAGGGAGAATCACTGGACTCCAGAGAGAAGCAATTGCTAGGAAGTTGGATAGTTAATAGGTTTTATTGTGATCAAGCCATCTTCTATGTCAGAACCAAAAGAAGACAGTACCTGCTATAGGAAGACTGCTGATTTCAGTCCTGCCTCATGCTATAATTGATCATCATTTTCCTTTCTCAAACAGGTTTGTGTCACTGGGAGCATTGAGCATTACCCTGTGTTGTGCTTGGGATACACCAAGCAGTGTTAGTTTATTCAAAATTTTGAGGCAGAAAGGTTATGTAATTTAAGTGGTAATTGAATATTTTCACTAATGCTGACATAAATACGTATTAAAATAATCTTATTAAAATTACTTTAGTTGACATTGTGATAGACCTTCATAAAATGTCTAGCTTGTGGTGACTGCTTCAGGGATATCCTGCAGCCCCCCAAAACATACTTGTTCATGTTCCTCTGTCCTCAGGGTGACTTCATTGGAAAAGTAAGGATGTTTTATGTCAGGGTAGAGCAGGGATGGCAAACTACAGCTTGTGGTCCAGATCTGGCCTGCTGCCTGTTTCTGTATGGCCTGTGAGAAAAATTTTAAAAAAGAATGAAATTTTGTGACATGCCACAATTATATAAAATTCAAATTTCAGGGCCCATAAGTAAAATTTTATTGGAACACAGCCACCCCGTTTCTTTAGCTTTTGCATGCTACAGCAGCAGAACTGAGTATTTAAGACAAAGAAGGTATGGCCCACAAAACCTCAGCTATTTATTTACACTCTGGCCTTTTACAGAAAAAGTGACCCCTGATCTAGATAAATCCTGGGTGATGGTTATAAATCATTATATGAAATGTGCATAATGCAAACTATAGGGTTGTGTAATTTAAAACTTTGACTTCAGCTACTGTTTATCATAGTTTTAAAAGGCAATTTTTGGAGCAAATCCAGTTTCTGTGAGATATGTAGGGTGTGGCTTTGGCATCAGAAGACCAGAGGTGTAAACTTACGAGCTCCATTATCCCCCCTAGTGGATTACTGTACGGTTTACTTACAAAGTTTCAAAATACTGAACAGCTTTTTTTTTTTTTTTTTTTTTTTTTTTTGCGGTATGCGGGCCTCTCACTGCTGTGGCCTCTCCCGTTGCGGAGCACAGGCTCCGGACACGCAGGCTCAGCGGCCATGGCTCACGGGCCCAGCCGCTCTGCGGCATGTGGGATTTTCCCAGACCGGGGCACGAACCTGCGTCCCCTGCATTGGCAGGCGGACTCTCAACCACTGCGCCACCAGGGAAGCCCCTGAACAGCTTTTTTAAAGTTACTAATTAATTATTGGCTGTGTTGGGTCTTTGTTGCTGCACGCGGGCTTTTTTTAGTTGCTGCGAGCAGGGGCTCGGGCTTCTCATTGCGGTGGCTTCTCTTGCTGCGGAGCACGGGCTCTAGGCGAGCGGGCTCAGTAGTTGTGGCACGTGGGCTGAGCAGTTGTGGCTCGCAGGCTCCAGAGCGCAGGCTCAGTAGTTGTGGCGCACAGGCATAGATGCTCCGCGGCATATGGCATCTTCCCGGACCAGGGATCGAACCCGTGTCTCCTACATTGGCAGGCAGATTCTTAACCTCTGCGACACCAGGGAAATCCCCTGAACGACTTCAGGGATCAGAGATCGGATGTCTCCTACACCTGGGCAGATACTGACAGGTCCTGTCAAGGCCTGGGCAAGTCTAGCCACCTCAGGGAGCATTTCTGTTCCCTTTCCTGAAGCTCAGCGAACAGAGACGAGACGAGGCTCCCAGGGACCAGCACGACCCTACCTCCCAGTAAAGCCACATTCCTGTCACTCTCCCGGGGCTCTTCCTCCGGTCCCGCTTCGCCCTCAACGTCGCACAGGTGACCTGAACCATCTAGGGCGCGGAAAGGCGGGGTCAGCCTCGGCAGCCAATCAGGGCTCGGCCCCTAGCCCAGCCAATCGGGCCGGGCCAGTTGGGGCTTAGCCAATCCGGCCGGAAGAGGAAGACCTGGGATAGTGCCTGCGCTTCGCGCTGCCAGCTTTGGGTGGCGCTACGTGGGGTCAGCTGGTGCCGGCCGCGGTCCTTGCTCGCTCGCTTGTTCCCCGGGAAGCCCCTGGTGTGCCGTGCCCGAGGCCATGGGGCGGGAGTGGGGGCCAGCCATGAGGGCGGCCGAGCAGGCGGGCTGCGTGGTGAGCGCCACCCGGGCCGGGCAGCCCGAGGCGGGCTCGTGGAGCTGCAGCGGGGTGATCCTGAGCCGCCGCCTGGGCCTGGTGCTGTGCCACGGGGGCATCTTCACCCCCTTCCTGAGGGCCGGCAGCGGGGCGCTGACCGCGGCCGGCGCCGCCTTCCTGCCCGGCGACAGTTGCGGCGACGACCTGCGCCTGCACGTGCAGTGGGGCCCAACGGCCGCGAGTCCGGCAGGCCGCGCGGAGCGGGGCCGCCCGGGGCTGTGCACGCCCCAGTGCGCCGGTCTGGAGCCCGGCCCGCCCGCCCGCTTCCGCGGGCGGCCGCTGCAGCCCCCCCGCCCCGCCGAGCTGCTGCTGCTGTTGAGCTGCCCGGCCTTCCGGGGCCACTTCGCGCGCCTCTTCGGCGGCGAGGCGGCCAAGCAGTGGAGCTTCGCGAGCGCCGCACCGGACGAAGAGGTGTCGGAGGAGGAGGAGGAAGACCAGCTGCGAGCGCTGGGCTGGTTCGCTCTGCTGCGCGTGCGGCCGGACCCGGACAAGGAGGCGGAGGCGGAGGAGCGCGGGCCGGTATTGGCCGTGGCGCCTCTCGGGGCTGTGCCCAAGGGTGAGCCGCTGCTGGCCTGCGGCTCCCCGTTCGGGGCCTTCTGCCCCGACATCTTTCTCAACACGCTCAGCTGCGGCGTCCTCAGCAACTCGGCCGGCCCTCTGCTGCTCACCGACGCGCGCTGCCTGCCAGGCACCGAGGGCGGCGGCGTGTTCGAGGCGCGACCTGCGGGGGCGCTGGTGGCGCTGGTGGCGGCGCCCCTCTGCTGGAAGGCCCGCGAGTGGGTGGGCCTCACGCTGCTCTGCGCCGCCGCCCCTCTCCTCTGCGCCGCCCGAGCGGCCCTCTGCCGCCTGCACCCCGGCGCCGCCGCCCTGGCCGCCTTCCTACCGCATGAGATGGGCGCCCCGTGGGGCCTGCCCCTCCGAGACCCCGGACCCCCCTGGGCAGCTGCGGCCGTGCTGGTGGAGTGCGGTTCCGTTTGGGGCTCCGGAGTGGCCGTGGCACCCCGCCTCGTGGTGACCTGCCGGCATGTGGCCCCTCGGGAGGCGGCCAAGGTCCTGGTGCACTCCACCACCCCCAAGTAAGGCCCACAAGGTTGCCCCCACTCCACTCCCTCACCAGCTGTCATATCTGAATCCCAGGTCTCAGGTCATAATCCTGAGGATTATGGAGGCCTTCTGGCTTCTGGTCTCAGGCTCAATGCTTGGTGGTGCAGTGTGGTTAGAGACCTGGAACCCTTCCCTCATCCTTGGCACCCAGAACCCCAGAGTAGGAGGTTCTGGACCTCCTGGCAAGGGGTGAGTGGGGCTTGGGCAAGATGACAAGCAACTCTGGGGAACTGTGGGGTGGTCCAGCATCCCTGGCTAGGCATCTTTGAGCTCCCCCTCCCAGTCTGAATTCCTTCTGGGCAACTTCTCTGTCTCATCCTTGCACCCACACACCAGAGGCCCTTGAACAGTCTTCCTAACCCTGCCCTCTTTCCCCTGAATGCCGTAGTGAAGCCCCAGCGGCCCAGGATGCTACCCTCCTGGGTTAAGAGAGGAGCCTGTTACTCTTACTTGATTTATCTCTTAGATCTTAACCAGAACTTCCCTTCTGGATCAAAATGAACAGATTCGCGGTTCCACCTAATTAGAATGTGGGAGTGGGGGCCCGGCAAATATATTTTGAACAATCATTGAGTGCTCTTGGCAGCCAGGTTGGGACTTCAGTCATTTGTTCCCTCTCTGCAGGGAGAGCACTCTTACCCTCCTTTACTTTCACTTGCTGTGACAGTGGAGACAGCAGCCTTGGCTTCCTGGCTTGGTTTTCTAATACATGTTCTGTTTCTTCTGTAGTCCCAGGTGCTTGACTTAGGCCAAAGCAAACGCTATAACGCCTTGGTGTTAATGCCTGTTGTTCTGTCCCTGGCTCAGCCTCTCAGCCCATACCTTTCCAAATGCCTCTATTGAACTGAGGTTAACCCAGCCCGGCTTTGCCATAGAGTCCCCTCTGGCAGCTACCTGGACAGCCATGACTTTATAGGGAAGACTGATGATGAGAATTTTCCTCTGTGTGTGGTCCCCAATTCCTCACCCCTCCACCTAACCCCACATACTCTTGGTTCTAGGGAACCCAGCAGGTCTGCTGGAAGCTACCCCTGCAGAGTGTGTAGTAGAAAGCCCCTGTGTAATCTTGGGCAATTTGCTGAATCTGTCTAAGCTGCTTTCCCGTGACATATAAAGTCTTGGAACAGCCTGCCACATAGTAAGAGCTACAGAAGTGCTGACATTTATGTAAACAGGGACCCAGAGGGATGAAATCGTATCATGTCTGACCCCCCCCGCCCCCACACCTGACAGGATTGTTGGTATCAAATGAGGCAGTAAAAGAAAATGCTGAGAATATTTGCCCTGGCTCCGGCCACTAACTATGTGACCTTGAGAAATTACTCAACCTCTCTGGGCCTCAAATGCACCATCCAAAATGGAGATAATGCCAGTGCCTAGTTCATAGGGCAGCTGTGAGGACTAAATGAAATGATGTCCATAGAACATTAACACCAGGCCTGGCCCACAGTGCCCCCTAGGTGTCAGGTGTTTGTGATGACGGTGAGGCACCGGAAGCTTTACACAGAAGTACCCTGCAGTTGGTAGAGCATGTTTGGAAGTTCCACTGTGGATGTGCCCAGAGTTGCGTGCTGGTATGTTTCAGGGCTGACACCAAATCTTTTGAGTCCCAAGTTCATGACTTTTACTGTCACTCTCATTATTTTGCTTCCTCCCCGTGCTGAACGTTCGGAAAGCTAGCCTGTCATTTTGTTTTCCTTGTTCCCAGGAGCGCCGTAATCTGGGGACATGTGGTATTTGCCACCCAGGAGACATCTCCCTATGATATAGCAGTGGTGATCCTGGAGGAGGACCTAGATGGTGTCCCTGTACCTGTTCCCGCTGAGCATTTCCATGAAGGTAAAGGACAGAGGGGTTCTCTGGTCTGGGGTGGACTTCAGGAAGGAAAGTCAGTGTTGGGCGCTCTAACCCTGCAGATCAGGGGCCAGTCCCACAGGTCAGCTCCCTTCCCCACCCCTGCTGGAGTAATGAGTCAGGCTGGCACCTTGTTACATCCTAGTTATAGTGCTTTGGCCGGAGTTGCTCTTGGAGGCCTCCCTGCTCGCGCCCAGCATGCCCAGCATCCTGGGGGACATGTGGAATTCCCAGCGAAGGGTAAGGCATGCCTTTTTCCTGAGGCCCCACAGCAGTGCAGTGTGTTGAGCCTTGGGGTCTCCTTATAACACTGCAGGCTGGTCTGAGAGATGTGTACTTTTGAGGCTCCAGTGGCATGATTTGAGTAAAAGGCTTTGTGACGCTGCCACAGAAGTACCAGAGGTCTCGCTTTGTGGATGTCGTATGCTATAACGTAATAACAAGGATTACAAGCTCTCTGCGTTGGCATCTTCTGCCATTTATTAGCCCCGTGTCCTTAGGCAACTTAGTGAACTCTGCCTTAGTTTCCACATCTGTAAAATGGGGATAATGCTCCCTACTCCTGGGCCTTGTGAGGAGTGGGTGAGATATTGTCTGTAAAGCACTTGGTGAAGGAAGGTGGTGCCCGCTTTGAGACTTCTTAGTCTCAGGAGGTGGGTGTTAATTTCACAAACATTTATTGAGCCCCTGGCTAGGTGCTGGGAATCCTAAAAAGTGACTACCCAGTCCAGCAGGGGAATGAGGGCTGGAGAACAGCCTGATGCTGAAGAGAAGTGGTTGAGCAGATACAGTGCTGGGAGCTCAGTGGAGGTCCCGGCCTGTTCCTGTGGGGGGCCTGGGGAAAGTTCTCATGGAGGCAAGAGTATCTGAGCAGAAACTCAAAGGGCAGAGAGGGTTTGGAAATTTGGAGTGGCCAGGGAGGGGGTTGGGGCGTGTGTGAGTCCTGCCAGACAGAGGAGGCTCCGCAGCTTAACCCTTCTTCCCTCCCTGGCAGGCGAGGCTGTCAGTGTGGTGGGCTTCGGTGTCTTTGGCCAGGCCTGCGGGCCCTCGGTGACCTCAGGCATCCTGTCAGCTGTGGTGCAGGTGGATGACACACCAGTGATGCTTCAGACCACGTGTGCTGTGCATGGTGGCTCCAGTGGGGGACCTCTCTTCTCCACCCGCTCCGGGGACCTCCTGGGTAACCAGCTCCTTGGTCCTCTCCCAGCCTTCCCCTTGCCAGAGCCTCAGTCCCATCCTGGGAGTGCTTGGTTTCCAGCCCTGGGAGCCACCCTCTGTCTGGAAAGATGGTGGGCCTTATGCACAGAGGTAGTTAGCCAAGGTTTTCAGGCTCTTGTGCTTCTGAGGGTGGAGAGGGACAGAAGCTGAGCTTGGAGGGAAGAGATCTGAGTTCTGGTCGCTTCTCTGCCACTGAGCCACTGCACAACCTTGGGTAAGTCACTTAATGTCATTTGATCTGTGAGACTCAGGAGTTGGATTAGTCCAAGGGTCACAAACTCAAAAGCCTACAGAGGCTGGGCTGTTAAAGTGAATGAATGAGTGAGTGAGTGAGTGAGTGAAGACAGCAGTGAGTGGAGGGCAAGGGGGAACTGGGGTGAACACCACTCAGCTCTAGTACATTGTTGCCTCATTACAAAGATATGTGGGCCTAACGCTGGCTGACCTTCCAATTTTTCACAAGAAGCTGTGAACCTTTTTTTTTTCAGAATTCCTAACCACACCCCCGTGAGAAACGAATTTACCAGCTAGAGAACAGTGTTTGAGCTTGTACAGTTCTTTTTATCTTTAGCCTTACAAGTGTCCAGTCAAAATGCTCTTTTCCAAAGTTTCTTAGATTAGCTCCCTCCCCTTCCCCTTCAGTATAGTTAAGTGATTCATTTGAAATAGAGTTAGGTACATTTGTCCTAGTCTGCATTCCACTTTTCTCCCATATACTGGTTGACCTTTTAAAAGATATATACTGGTAAGTGGACACAGAAATAAATATAGATGTGTGTATGCATGACTTAGTGTGTGTGTGTGTGTAGATATATGTGACTCCTAGTTCAGTCTGCTGAGAGGGGCTAGAAGCAGTGACATCCATTTGTAATGAACACAGCGAGAGTTCAGATCTTGGTTTCTAAGAGTCATTCTCTAGGGCTGCCTTGTGGTGCTGGAAAGGAGGGAGGGGTAGCAATAACAGCAGCAGCAAAATGATGGGCACGTCAGATGTTGAAAGAACCGGGAGCTGACGTGAAGGAGCTCCCACTGGAACAGCTTGAGCAGCAAAACAAACAGTAGCAGTTTTGGTTTTCAGAAGAATTCCCATTAATGAATGTAGAAGAAATGAGGGAAATAGAAAATCGCTATTAGGACACCCCTGTAGGAACTGCTGCCGACAGGATCCATCGATGGATGCCAAAATCAGTAGGCAAGAGTTTAAGTAGAAACAAGATAACTGCATAATCCTAACATATTTCGTACTTACCAAGGGGGTAATAGTAAGTCTACAGCGGAGAAACCTGGCAGATACCACCCAAGTAATGAAGGTTAACATCGCAAGCAGTGCTTATAGTCAGCACACATTTCCTGATAGCATGCACTGAAAAGGACGCATTGCTTCTATGGTTTTCTTCTCAGTGATGTTTAACCTCAGTCTTATCATGAGAAAACATCAGGTAAACCCAAATTGAGGGACATTCTACAGAATAACTGACCTGTACTCTTCAAAGTGTCAAGGCCATGAAAGATAAGGAGAGACCGTGGAAGTGACCCAGATGGGAGGAGACCTAGGAGACATGACGACTAAATGCCATGTGGGATCCTGGATCAGAAAAAGAGCGTTAGTGCAAACACTGGTACATCCAAGTGAGTTCTGTACTTTAGTTAATAGCATTTCACCAAGGTTAATTTCTTGGTTTTGATGAATGCTGTATGGTGACATAAGGAAAAGCTGGGTGAAGGGTATACAGGAATTCTGTACTATTTTGGCAAGATTTCTGTTAAGTCTAAAATTATCTTCAAAAAATTCATACACATGCACTGAGCAGGCCAAACAAAAGTTCTGTGTGGGTCTGATTCAGTTATTCAGTTACTCAGCTAGTATTTGTTGAGGTCATCCTTTGCCAGGCACTGTTCCAGGTACTGGGGAGACTGCATGGACAGAACACAGCAGTCCTGCCCTCATGGAGCTGAAAGATAACAGAAGTTGGAGAGAGGGATCACAAGCAGGTGAAACATGGGGTATTAGATACTGATAGTGTTGGGGAGAAAGTAAAGCCAGGAAGGAGGACTGAGGCATGAGGAGCCCGTGTCCATGAATGAAGCCTGGTGCCTGTCACTACGAGGGGGCTTCAGGCAGGTCTAGGGCCTCCAGGCTGGAGGTGAGCCTCCCTCCCCTGTCCTCTGGCTCACACCCTCTCTTCCTCTCTGGCTCCTGCACAGGCATCGTTGCCAGCAACACCCGGGACAATAACACGGGGGCCACCTACCCCCACCTGAACTTCAGCGTTCCCATCACGGTGCTCCAGCCGGCCCTGCGGCGGTACAGCCAGGCAGGCGACCTGGGCGGCCTCCGCCAGCTGGACCGCGCCCCTGAGCCAGTGAGGGTGGTGTGGCGGCTGCAGCGACCTCTGGCAGAGGCCCCGCGGAGCAAGCTCTGAAGCTGTGGCACCCCTCTAGAGAGAAGAGCAACCATCTGATGCCATGGGGAGTGCTGAGGACCCTGACACGGCACACCTCAGCCAGGCTGCATCCCCATCACCACCCACCTTGCTCAGCTCTGGAGTCTGGACCAAACTTCTCTTTAGCCCCCACGGATCTCTTACCTGGCAGCCCGTTTGGGGGTGCTTTCTCAAGCCGACACCTCTCTTTTCCCCCGACACTAGGCTCAGCTCTTTTTTTCCCTTCTGGGGAGCCCAGTACAACCATACAACAGACAGATCTGGTCCTGACAGACAGATGTTACTGGAAGGCAGGTCCAGCCATGGTTCCCTGTCTCCTGAGGGTCACTGGGCACCTGCAGCGGCGGCTTTCCTCGGGCCTGGGCTCCTCTCTGCTCTCAGTCAGAATGGGGCTGACAGCACTGGGGCTTCCTCAGAAAACCTCAGCAGAGAGGCCCTGCTCTGAAGACCAGAGGCGGAAGGGAAGGAGCATCTTTCTGTTCTGCTGGACCAGCGGTGGCGTCCCCGAAAGCCAGGACTCCCGGCTTTTCATGTGTCGGGTGCCCTGACCTACAGGGGCACGCTGACACAGTGCCTTAATTTTCCGGCCCGTAAAGTGGCTCTCAGGGGTCGGGGGTGGGGACGTGGGGCGGGGAGGGGTTGAATGTGTCTGGTTGGGGTTTGGGAATAAACAGGACCTATGAGGGACAGGACCTACTTCTATATATCAGCTTCTTTTTTTTCCTTCTTTGTTTTGAGAGTTGAATGGGGAATAGGAAAGCACCAGGCACAGAAATATACTTTTCTGTCCTGCTTTCTCAGGGGGGTTTGATCTCACGGGACACTCTTGCGCCAGACTAGTCCTGGTAGCTGGTCGTGGTGCCAGTTAGCACTGGGTGGGGCTTGCAGATCGCAGACGGTGGTGGCCTTGGCCTGGCAGCAACTGTTTACAGGCTGCCCGGATGGACCCAGGCCTGTGCCAGGTCCTGGAATGGATGGGAGTTGGGGAGTTCAAAGGTGAATGAGGCCAAGGCAGGCCCTAGGAACTAAGACCAACCCTGGGAGTCAGGAACATGCACTGTGTGCCCAGGGCCCTGCCTGTGCAGGCCGTCAAGAAATGATTGTTAAATCACTGACAGGTTGAATGCCATTGGGGAATGACTGGGGGAGAGGGGGCTAATCTAAGCAGAGAGAATTGCTGTGAGTACTTTGTTTCTAACATCTGTTTGCTGAGCGCCAGCTCTGGGCAACCACAGAACACCCCTGAGACAGTTGTTCTCTGTGTGGATTAGGAATGGGGCCAGAGGGCAAAGTTAGCTTGAGAGAAATCCTGTAGTAAATTTATGGAGGTGGGGAGGGAGAGCCGAGTTCTGACTTGGCTGCAAGTGGGAAGGGGAGGATTTATTCCAGCATGTGTGGGTACCAAGGAGCTCAGGCTATTCTGGGGAGACTGGTGTGTCACCCCATTAGTGGAATGAGCAGGGCATCTCTGTCCTGTTCAGGTGGAAGACCATGTCCAGGGGCCCAGAGCAGGGAGGGTCAGGCAAGGATTCATGCAGCTCAACCCTGAGGGGAGAGTAGGTGTTTACCAGATGGAAACAGGAAACAGGGAGGGTGTCCAGATTGAGGGCAGTGGGAGCTGGGACAAAGAAGTGTGAAACTACATGTGTGTCTGGCCATGCTAAGTGGAGAAGAGATTGGAATGGAGGCTGGGGAACCAGTGACAATGGCCCTGGTGACAGGGAAGATGGCCAAAGCAGGCCTGGTGAGCATAGAGATCAAGCATGACACAGGAGGAGGACCTGACTGGATGTGGGGCGATGCAGAGAGAGAGAAGGGTCAGATGGTGCTGTGTCTCTAGCCAGGATAGTGATGAGTGTCTGACAAGTTTAGGAACGAGATGTTTCCTTGGTTGTCCGTGGGATCTCAAGTAGAGAGGCACAGCAGGCTGTTAAGTGGATGAGTTAGGATAACGCAATAAAAGGTCCCGTCTCCCCCATCTCAGTGGCCTAAGACAATAGAAGTTTGTTTATTTCTCATGTAAAGTCCAAAGTCATGCACCTGACCACGAAGTCGGGGAGGGTGGCTCCTGTGCAGTTCTGGTTGAGGGACTGAGCTCCTTCCTTCTTGCAGCTCTATCACTGGGTCTGGGACCTCAGATCCTCTGCCAGGTCTTCTGTACCTGGGTGGTGGATGGGGGAAGAGAGAGAGGAGAAGATATTCCTGCTTCTTTTTTAAAAAATGATTTTATTTTGAAGCAGTTTTAAACTTCCAGAAAAATAGCAAGAATCCCACACGCCCTTCCCCCAGACACCCCATGTCATTTGTGCCATATGCCCCAGTGATGTTCTCTGTAACAGAGAGACCTCATTTGGGATCATGAGTTCAACCCATTTGCCATGGCTCTCTCCCCTTTGACTTGGAGCAGCTCCTAAGGCTTTCCTTGAGTTTGATGCCCTTGACCTTCCTGCAGAAAACGGTATTTTGCAGAATGTGCCTTAGCTTGAGTTTGTCCACACTTCCTCATGATTAGATTTGGGATACACATCTTTGGGATATAACATTAGTGATGTTGTCTTATCATCATGTTCTACTGGATGGCGCATGATCTTTATTTGTCAAATTATAGATGATAACCTTGATCATTTGAGTAAGATGGTGCCTGCTAGGTTTCTCCACTGTAAAGTTTATTTTTTTCTTTGTAATTAACAAGTATTTGTGTGGCAATATTTGGAGACTATGTAAATATTCCTATCCCACTTTCATCTACTATGCTTATCACCCACTGATGTCCCTTGGCTGAATAACTTTAATGTTTGCCCAATGGAAATTTTTTATTTTCATTTTTCCTCCTACGTCTATTCACTGGCTTTCTATTGTAAGTAAAAGCTTTCCCTCCTCTCTGTTTAATTATATCTGTGTGGAATCATGGATTCATAGTTTATTCAATGGATTATAATCTATTGTTATCATTATTTTGATGCTCCAATTGTCCATATTGGCCAGTGAGAGCTCCTTCAAACTAGCTTCTGTGTTCGACATCTCCCCATCATTCTTTGAGCACTTCCTTCAAAACAAAATGTTGTAGACTTACTTTGTACTTTCCCTGGAATCAGCCACTTCTCCAGTGTCCTCTTTACTAGAAAACGGTATTTAGAAGCAAAGATCTAGGTACTAGGTGTGCTTCTGACTTTGAGGTGTTGCTGCTCCCAGGCACTCTCGGTAGACAGACCTTACATCTATATTTATTTCTATCTATATATGTTGCAAGCCATGCCGTTCGTTAACACTGATAGTTCCAATTTGATACCACAAGTTCAATACCACAAGGTTCATTCTAGCTCTCCCCTTTTCATATTGGTACCTCTCTCCTGTCGGTGAGAAACACTGCTACATTATCCTCAATATATTAACTTGTTTGCTCCATCCCTTGCATGTGGCTAGTCTTCTGACCCCATCAGACTGCCCCTGCTACTCTGCTCTGATGCTGCTCTTATACAGGTCACCATTACTGCTCTGCACAAGCCTGCCTCATGATTTTTTTGACTTCATTTTTTGACAGAGGCAGAGCTGGAGCCTGCAAGGGGGCTGAGAAGAGACAAGCAGAGGCACAGGAAGAAAACCAGGGAGGCTAAGACCTAGGTCAGCAGGGCAGACACCAGAATCTGTTTTCCTCTCTTTGCGGCCATACACTAGACTGCATCTCCTGGCCACCCTCACGGTCAGGTGTGTCCATGAGTTCCAAAGGGCAGAAGGGAGGTGCGCCACTTCCAGGCCTGGCCTATACGAACCTTCTACCTGGCCTTCTCTGCACCCTACCCCCTGCCCCTGGTGGGAGTGGAGGCATCCCTTAAAAGAGACCTTGGGGGCTTCCCTGGTGGCGCAGTGGTTGAGAGTCCGCCTGCCGATGCAGGGGACACGGGAGAGCACAGAAAAATCACATGGTGACTTTACTTAATAGGACATACACAACCATTTTTTAGTAGGGTTCTGGAATAATGCATATTTGTCTCCAGGCTTAAATACTTGTGATGCTCTGTTGTTTAAAAAAAGATCTTGGAAATTCTCTGGCAGTCCAGTGGTTGGGACTCCGTGATCCCACTGCAGCGGGCCAGGTTCCATCCCTGGCTGGGGAACTAAGATCCTGCAAGCCACTGCTCAGTGCGGCCAAAAAAAAAAAAAAAAAAGATCTCGTTGAATCTTTTCTACAGTGATTTGGGTAGGTGCTAATATTTGCATTAAATAGGTGAAGATGGATTATCTGTCACCAAATTGGCTTGATCCTACCTCCAGGTTGTAGCTTGCAGCAGTACATTTCTTGACAGATCCGAGTGCTTTCTTCTTCTCCCTGGACTCCCCTCCTGCCCAGGTTACCCAATTTCAAGCAGCCCTCCCATTGCCCTGTCTTTTCACCCTCCAACATAACTCAGACCTCACTCTTCAGCTTAAAACCCATCAGTGGCATCCCGTTGCCCTTGGGATCACACGGGCAGTCTTTACCAGGACCTGGAGGCTTGTGCCACCCTGTCCCCGACCACTTCTGCAATGCCCTTGCTCTCAGCTATTTATCCTGCCTTGGTCTTTGCACACCCAGAGCATACTTGCTTTCTCTCTGCCCAGGGCTAACTTCTCATCCTTGGAGAGAGGTCTTGGCACCCTTCTTTTGCCCCCGGTCTTTCTTACTGCAATTAGTGATACATATGTTTTATTGTTGTTTAGTATTTTTCCCTAGACTATTACCTGGAGGAAAGCAGAAACCATGCCTGCATTGTTCTACATTTTACAACCCCTCACTCCCACCCCTCACGCCCAGCACAATGCCAGGCGTGGAGTAGGTGCTCAGCTGGGTTTGCATTTTTGTTTATATGTGTGAAGGCAGGAGGCTGGTGATCCGTCCGAGATCGCACAGCCAGTGCCGGGGCCCGCGCTCTAAAGGCTGGAAAGGCGTCCGGCATGGGAGCCGGACCGAACTTTGAGCAGAGTCCGAGGGGCCGGGGCAGCGCGGGCGGCCTCGACAGTAGCGGTCGAGTGCTCACGGTTGGGGCGATTGGCTTCCTGGGCCGGCGGCGCGGGCGGGCCGGAGGCTGCAGTTCCCGGGGGGGCCGCCGGGGGCATAGCCGAGGCTGGAGGGCAGACGCGCCGAGTCACGCCGGCAAGGGAGGGGCCTCGGGCTCGGCGGCGACCACGGGAGCTGCTGACAGGAGCGGGAGCTGGAACGGGAGCCGGAACGGCGGGAGGCCGCCGGCAGGTGAGGGGCGCGTCGGGCGAGCTCTGCGGGACCCCCGCGCCTGCAGGGCCCCAAGAAGCCGAAACAGCGTCCGGGGCCGGGGAGGAGAGGGCGGTCGTCTAGGACAGTGGTCCCGAACCATTTTGGCACGAGGGACCGGTTTCGTGGAAAACAACTTTTCCACAGACGCCGGGGCGGGGGTGTGGCTGGGAGGGGAACGGTTCAGGCGGTAATGCGAGCGATAGGGGGGATGCAGAGCGGCAGATGAAGCTTTGCTCGCTCGCTCGCCCGCCGCTCACCTCCTGCTGTGCGGCCCGGTTCCTAACAGGCCGAGGACTGGTATCGGTCCGCGCCCCGGGGGTTGGGAACCCCTGGTCTAGGATGAGGGGCTCAGGCCTGCACCAACCCAGGTCCCCCAAAACTCAACGGGGAGCTTTGCTCCCAGTGAGGACAGAGCAAACTCGCCTCCTCCGCGTCCGCTCCCCCCCCATAAATCCCTGCTAAGTCTTCCCAAGTAAGACAAACCACCCCCGTCACCGCCCCCCGCAAATCCCGGGAGGGCCCCGAGGGTCGCCGCTGGGCGGTGGAAGCTGCTGTGGGGTGGATGAAAGCCCGTGTCACAGGCAGGAGGAAAGCCTCAGTGTCCAGGAGGAAAATGCCCAGGGTTACCCAGTGCCCATAGGCTCCAGGGTGCACTGGAAGGTCCTGCTTCTCCACGGAGCCCCAGCTTCCGCGGGGGCACTAAGGCCAGAGGTGGCCCAACTAACTCTGATGGGGCCGGAGGTTGGGGGGAAGCCCAGGACTCCTGATCCACCAGGAGCTGCTTTTAGTGCCTGATGTTGGGCGCTTTTCTTTCAATAGCACCCACTAAACACACCCTGCCCTTCCTCTCTGATTAGACTCCCTTTGACCCTTTGTTGTACCCTGAGGGTGGGGAGGGGAGAGGTGCTTAGGAGCTGACGGTCCCACCGGAGGACAGGCACAGGGCAGAGGGTCAGACATAGTTTGTGAAGGGGCTTCCAAGTTTGTGAAGGGGCTTCCAGGTGTCCCGGCTCTGCACCTTGTGTTCAAAGGCCAACATGTAAAATATGTAAATATATAAATTATCAAGGAGGCCTGCTTGGGTGTGTGTATGTGCCCCAAGCTTTCAGAGCCCTCCAAGGAAGACCGTGTGTAACCCTGCATCTGGAAGGTCCACTTCACAGGAGAAGACTGAGGCCCAGCTGGGCGGGGCCTTGCTCAGGACAACCCAGCAGTTAAGGAGGAGCTGGGTAGAGGGGGTGTGCTCCAGGGCCAGCCTGATCTTTGTGTCTGGTGGTGAAGAGAGGAAGCCAGGGTCCAGGCACAGATCATGGGGATGTTAAGGGAACCAGAAAGTGACTGGCTCCCAGGAGACTGTACAAGTTGTGTGTGGCCTAGGCTTCAGCACCGGAGCCTGTATGACACCCGCATGAACCCGTCTGCCCAGAAGTGCCCTCTCCTGAGGGCATGAAAGGACAGCCCTCTTCAGACTTTGAACCTCTTTCAGAAATCGGTCTTTTTGGGTTTTGTTCACCATGTGTTCCCTGGGGGACTGGCCATGGAGTGCCCACTCTCAGCCTGGTCCCTGGGGTCCAGTGAGGGAGGCTGCCCACCGCTCTGCCTTCGCTGGGTTGGAGAGATATATTCATGGTGCTTCAAGTCACACTGTAGGCCCTCTCATCCAGGACGTCCACTCTGGAAACGGCTGTGGAAATCTACCTTGGGGGTAACTGGTGAGCGCTCAAAAGCTGGGTGTTTTATTTGTAATCTCTATGAAGCAATTCTGGGACGACATCTTTGCTTTGATCAGAGCCCACATGGTTCTGCTGTGTGTCTTCTGAGGCATGACCTCCCCACAGCTTTGGCCTAAATATAACTTCCTTGTTTTTCGGTAGATTCCTAAAAGCCCTTTGTCTGTATTATTAGAGAAGAATCCCCCTGGGATCAGGCTGGGTGTCCTTGGCAGAGAAAACAGGATTTACTGAGAAAATTTGAGTGTAAACCATATTGTGTGTGTGTTGGGGGAGGGGCAAAGGCAAAATTACTTAGGAGTTGCTGGACAGTTAGGAATTGTTTTCTTGGACCTGCTTTTTTTTTTTTAATAAATTTATTTATTTTATTTATTTATTTTTGGCTGCGTTGTGTCTTCGTTGCTGCACGTGGGCTTCCTCTAGTTGTGGCAAGTGGGAGCTACTCTTCGCAGCAGTGCACGGGCTTCTCACTGCGGTGGCTTCTCTTGTTGTGGAGCACAGGCTCTAGGCGCACGGGCTTCAGTAGTTGTGGCACGGGCACAGTAGTTGTGGCTTGTGGGCTGTAGAGCACAGGCTCAGTACTTGTGGCGTACGGGCTTAGTTGATCCGCGGCATGTGGGATCTTCCGGGACCAGGGCTCGAACCCATGTCCCCTGCATTGGCAGGCGGATTTTTAACCACTGCACCACCAGGAAAGTCCCCTTGGACCTGCTTTTATGCTAACATTCCTGCATCTGGGAAGATTCAGTTAAGAGTCTCTGTGCTCATTCTCTTGCCTTGATGGTCAGTAAAATCAGATGGTAGGTTTGCAGTTCCTCAAAAAGTAAAATCTAGAGTTACCATAGGACCCAGCAACTTCACTCCCAGGTATAAACTTAAGAGAATTTTTTGTTCACAAAAAGTTGTACACAGATATTCATAGCAGCCTTATTCATATCAGCCAAAAGGTGGAAACAACCCAAATGTCCATCAACTGACAAATGGATAAACAAAATGTGGTATCTCCATACAATGGAATATTACTCAGCCATAAAAAGGAATGAAATTCTGTTATAAGTTACAGCTTGAATGAATCTTGAAAATATTGCACTAAGTGAAAGAAGCCAGACACAAAAGGTATGGAATAGGCAAATCTATAGCGACAGAAAGATTAGTGGTTGTCAGGGCCTGGAGGGAGGAGGGAATGAGGAGTGAATGCTAATGGATGTGGGGTCTTTTTGGGGAGGGGGTGATGAAAATGTTCTGGTATTAGATTGCGGTGATGGTTGCACAACTTTATGAATGTACTAGAAACCACTGAGTTGTACATTCTGAGATAGTGAATTTTATAATATATGAAAAATATCTCAATTAAAAACATTAGATTGTAGGAAGCCAGCTCTGTCTTTAAAGCTTTATGATTTCATTTTAAAACATTCAAACAGTACAAAAAACGGGGGGGGGGAAAGCTCAAAGAAGAAAGTAAAAACATCATCTGGCAACCACTGTTAGCATTTTGGTTTAGAGTGCAGATCTTATCAGACTGTTGAGGATTGAACTGGGGTAAGTTACTGAAATTCTTTCCAAAACGAGGAGGAAACCCCACCTGTTCAACGCAAAGACATTGATAAAAGCGCAGTGGATGCTCACTGTTGTCATCGTTACTTGTATGTGTGTATATGTAGCTAGGTGCCTGGGTCTGATGGCCCACAATGGAGATTAGGCTCTACATGACTTTTTATTATCTGACTTTTTGATGGACAAGCTTTTTTTTTTTTTTCTAAGACTTTATGTTTTTAGAGTAGTCTTAGGTTCACAGCAAAATTGAGTGGAAGGCACAGAAATTTCCTGTTTACCTCCTGCCCTGACACGTGCATAGCCTCTTCCATTATCGACATCACTCACCAGAGTGGTCTGTTTGTTACTGAACCTACATTGACATAATCACCCACAGACCATAGCTTACATTACGTTTCACTCTTGGTCTTGTACAGTCTGTGGGTGCGGATGAATCGTGGACAAACTTTTCACGTAAAATATCTTCCACTGTAAAATTGAATGTCTCCAGAATATTCCATTGTATGGGTGTGTAATAGTGTATCCTCTAATCTCCCGTTGGTGGAGGTTTCCATTGATTGATGGAGTCACCCACAAAAAGCACGCTTGCTTTTTGAGCACCTGCTGGGTGTGTGGCTAGGAGTGCTGGTCCATGGCTTAAGCCGATGATTTAGGTGTCTGGTGAAGTAGGTCATGGCCGAGCAGAGGGGAGCCTAGCTGTCCTCGGGTCCAGGTGAGAATTGGCATTGGAAGAGCCAAGGGAGAGGCGGGTGTTGGGCAAGGGAGGCTGCCGAGGAGAAAGAGTGGCATGGGCTGGAGCGCCATCAGGCCCCCATTCCCCAAGTGGGTGTGTCAGAGGTTAGTGGAGGAGAGAGAAGAACAGATTTCAGGAGAGGCCTCAGGTGGCTTGTGGTGTAAAAGCGCCTCCCCTCCCTGGCCCAGCTATGGCAGCTCCTCCTGGGCCTGGATGTGCCCTCAGGCCCCAGACTCTGCACCGGAACTCTAAAGAATCAATTCACCTTTACTGAGGGCTGTGCCTAGTTGGGTGAGGCCAGGGTTTGTCCTTTGGGGAAGCCAGTTAATGATCCTGGGGGGCTGAGGGAGCAGGGGTTCAACTCCTTTGGCTAACCCACTGCCCTCAGGCCTGTGCTGGGCTCACTGGGCTTTCTTCCCTGCGAGGGCCCCAGGGCAGCATGTAGGCCCAGACACTGCCCTAGCATGACAGGCCCTCTGTGTGTGCTGTCCCCTGTCCCCTGCCCTCCTAGCTGCCCCACCTTGTTCCCTGAACCCCTCCCATCCCCTCCTTTCCTGCCACTGGACATCTTGGCCTAAGCTGTTCCCTCTGTGAGGAAGGCCCTTGGCCCCAGCTGTTTTTCAAGGCTCCACCTTGAGCTTCCCTGCGTGGTCCATGGTGGACCCCTCTCCCCAACAAGCTGGGTAGCCTCTCTCAGGCCTGTGCCCCGCCAGCATGGAAGCAGAGCTCTCTGGGTGTTTCTGACCTTTTCGCTGGCTGCTGACCCCAAGGGCAAACTGGCACAGAGGGGGCCGTTTTGAAGGGGAAGGTGAAATGCACCCCTTCCATAGCTTGCCTGACTGCCTGTCACATTCCCAGGCCCTGCTGAGCTCCTGGTGTCTGCTCCTGTCCCTGGCTGGTCCCCGGGGCCCTCTTGGATCCTGGCCTAGGTGGCAGATTCAGCCTGATGAACATTCACGGGGCCAGCTCTGGACCACCTACTGCCGGCCTGGAACAGTGAAGGTGACACTGCCTGCTGGGGAACTTGTGTTGGTCCCAGCCCTAGAATGCACAAGCCTCAATGCACTGGGGACCATTTAGCCAATGAGAAAGCAAGTTAAATCTCCAATCTCCTATGCCAGATCTACCCTCCCTCGCCCAGGTTTTCACTTCCCCAGAGGAGAAATTAGACTGTGTGCATTTGAATACCAATGACAACAGTGTCTGGAGGTCCAACCGTAAGCTGACCCCGTAAGTGTGGGAAGATCTGGGGACCATCTTGGGGGTCACCATGTCTTGGAAACCTATTGTGCAAGGACATTTTAGGCTGTCTCCTCCCTTTACAGGGGGTAAATGGAGGCCCAGAGAGGGGAGGGGTTGTGCCCCAGACTACACACCTGATGGAGGACAGAGTGGTGACCTTCCAGCTGCCTGCAGTACTGTCTGAGAGGTGGGCTGGAATGTTCTTCCCCATTGAGCTTTTCGACAGCTTGCTGTCTGTCCGCTTCCTCCCTCCTTGCCGTTCTCACATGTGAGTGTGAGCCTGGTGCACACTTGGCCCTCCATCCTCTGCAGATACTCTCTTCGATTGCAGGTTCCCTTTCCTCGACATCAAGCAGGACCTTGCACCCCCTGCCCCTCTCACTGGAGCCCACGTGATGAGCGCTTCTCCATCCTGTTTCTCACCAGCAGACTTCCTTTTTGGTCCTTAACCAGCACTGTTTCTTCTCCTAGCAGAGATTTCTCCCTGCCCCCTTCCTCCTGGGGGGTGTCACCCACCAGTCGCAGTGTATGTCCTCTATTCCAGGAATGCTCAGGGGACCACCTGCCCACAGCAGTCCCCTCCTCCCCACCCCACTGTCATGGCCTTAGTCATATCGCATCCTGTTTTGCAGGCTGATTGTCATAACTTGCTAATTGACCTCCTCAGACCTGGGGCTGAAGCTGGTGACGTGTGAGCTGGGTGGAATCTGGTCTCAGTGTTTGCTTAGTGTTGTGCTTAAATAATTTTGTTTAGTTCTTTTAATGTGGCCTGTGCTTACCAATTCCCCAGAGGTGTACCCACCGTTTCTGGTTACTGTGCACCTGCCCAGCTTCCCACAGCTACATCATCCACCTGGCCCTTTGAGTTTGAAACCCTGCCTTTACAAGGGCTGAGACCATATCTGTCTGTCTGTCTCTCTGACCACGGCATCCATAGCACAGAACATGTCAAAGAGCAGGAGGTCCGTTAATTTATACTGTTGAGTGAACAAATATATTTACGAGTGAAAAAAAGCGCAAAAACAGTTGTTTAATGTGGGCAAAAATGATAATCACGATTGTAGGTGCACAGAATATCTCTGGAAGGATTCATGTAAACTAGGTAATAGTAGATGCCTTGGAGAAGGGAACTGGGTGGTTGAGGGGATGAGATGGAATTAGGATACTCCTTGTTCCTTTGGAATTTAATTCAAATTTTACAAAAAATGGAATTTTATAAAAGATGATTACATACTTTTAAAAGATCAAGTCTTGGCATTTGAGGCCATTCTTGATATGGACCCACCTCTGCCCACCCAGCCCTCGAGCCCCCCTGAATCTGATGTGGTCTCTCCTCCTACCCCAGCAGCACCTGGTCTGAGATGGGGTCCCAGGTCTCGATGGACGTGGGAGCCGTGCATGTGGTGATCGTGGGCGGGGGCTTTGGCGGCATTGCGGCCGCCAGCCAGCTGCAGGTGCTGAACATCCCCTTCGTGCTGGTGGACATGAAGGACTCCTTCCACCACAACGTGGCAGCCCTCCGGGCCTCCGTGGAGAGTGGTAATGGGCTCTTCTCTGGGGCTTTCTTTGTGACCGTGATCTTGTCACCACTGTGAATCACAGGGTGGTTTTCTCCATTTAGGGCAAGGTGCCTAAATTCCACCATTAGACAAATTCCGGGGAATCTTAAGTTCGCTGGCCTTAAGCAGCTACCATACCAAGGCCCCAGAAGTCAGAGCGAGAGCTTCTCCGAGGACCTGGGGCCCAGACTGGCGCTTTAGGGGGTAGTGGGTATCCAGGGGCTGTTTAACCAAGGGGCCCCTGTTGGCATGCAGCTCTGGAAATGTTCTGAGTTATTTTGGCCTCCTGTGGGCAGCCCAGTTTTGCACCGTGACCTCCTCTCTGTCCGTTCCCCAGGGTTTGCCAAAAAGACATTCATTTCCTACTCGATGACCTTCAAGGAAAACTTCCGGCAGGGCCTGGTGGTTGAGATAGACCTGAAGAATCAGACGGTGCTGCTGGAGGACGGCGAGGTGAACCCAGCGGGGGCTGGCCATCCTCAGCTGGCTTCAGGGGGCCCCTGAGATGTGGATGCTGGTGGGAGGACACCTGGGCCTGTCTCCTCAGGGACAAGGGCCCCCCATGCCCGCCTGGTGCCTGGCAGATAGCAGATGCCTCCTGAGCAAAGACTGGGCCCCAGCAGCCACAGGGGAGCGGTGCAGAGCTTTCCCTGTATGCCGGGCACTGTTTTAAGCCTCACGTGATCTTCTTTAACGCCCACTGTGACCCTGTGAGGGAGGTGGAGTAGCCTCGGTGCACCCAGAGGTTAAGAGGCTTGCCCAAGACCCCACAGCTGGAGAGACTCAGCCAGGATTTGGACCCAGGCAGCTTTGCCCCAGAGCCCTCACTCTGAAAGCCAGGGTCCCAGCCCAGGGGCCCCCTCACTGTCTGGAATCAAAGGGTAGGCACCACAATCCCACATCGCCCGGGGTGGGGGCAGAGGTTTTCTCCCCGAAGTTTGTGTCCCTCAGCCCTGGGGTAAGCACGGTGCGTGTTGTATCCTTGTGGGACCAGAGCTCCGTCAGCAAGCTGCCAGCAGCCCACCCGCCATGCTGAGGGTACCCTCCAGCCTGGTTCTCTACTCTAGTCAAAGCTAAGGGGGGACTGTACAAAGGGGCTCCAATTCCTGTCCTCAGTGAGTGTGGTTTAGTGTGAATGAATCAATCTTCCTTGAATCAATTTTGAGGCTGTAGAATCTCCAGTTGGCAAGATTACTGAGAACGTCCTTATCCTGTGGTTTTGGGTCCATGAGGGCATCTCAGGCTTCTACGGGAGTAGTGGAGTCTGAGTGGGATACAGACCCTCCAGTCCCCCTTCCATCAGAGCAGCTCTGGGTTTGTCAGTTTTATATATTTAGGCTCCAAACAGGATATCCGCCCCCCCCCCCACTTTGTTTTTGTTGGCCAGGATAAGGGGAAATTTTTTCTAAAATAATGGTAATAATAGGGAGATTCTAAACTAACTTCACCCTGGAAGCTGGAATCCTGCTTATTCCCCACGAGCCGTTTCCTGTTGCCTGCTCACCTGCCCCGCTGCTGTGGGGAGCTCTCCCCTCCCGTCCTGTTTCACGGTGGGCGGTCCAGCAGGCAGTAAGCTCTGCCTCCTTGGGTATTTCCTGGGTTGTAGCACCATCCCTTGGTCTAACCAGTGATGGTTTTGCTCCCCCCACAGGAGGCCTCTCCTCCTTGGTGCTCCTTGCCTGGTGGAGCCTGGGGTTGGATGCAGGAGCCCAGGCCTGCCCTCACCGTTCTTTCCCTTGCCCCTCCCAGGCCCTGTCCTTCACATATCTCATCCTGGCCACGGGCAGCACTGGGCCCTTCCCAGGCAAGTTTAACCAGGTGTCCAGCCAGCAGATGGCCATCCAGGCCTATGAGGACATGGTGACGCAGGTGAGCTGCCTGCTGCCCGGTGGCAGGACAGTGAGGGCAGAGCCGGGGGTTGAGGGCCCTGGGAGAGTGGGACAGCTGTGGGGATGCCCGGGGCTGCAGCAAGGAGCTCCCGGGGCTGCAGTGGCGCTGTAGAGATGGAGAGTTACCAGGAAGAGGCTCCTGGGAGGAGACCTTTGGACAGGTCATGAGGTCTGGACGTGAGCACCCAGACCTGCTCATGTAGCGATTGGCTCCTGTTTGCACGGGGCTTGTGTTTATATTATAGAGTGGGCTTGGATCCATGCTGTCAGTCACTTCTCACGGGGATCTGGAGAGGTGGGTGGAATGGGTCTGTCCCCACTGAACAGATGAGGTGTGGGGACCCAGAGAAGGTCGTACAGCTGTGTGACCAAGGCCAGGTCTTTCCCTCTCTGCACAGCTGCTGGGGAACCTCTGGCACAGTCACGAGCAGACGTTAGAGTGGAGGTTAGGAACCCGACCTGGAACTCAGGCAGATCCGGGTCACCTGCAAGCTGGGCAGGTAGTGAGAGTTGAGTGAGAAATTCAGGGAGGCACCCAGCAAGAGCTGGCCCCGAGGCAGCACATTTGGACCCTGAACTTGGAAAGGGTTCTCTACGCTCCTTTGGCCAAGGAACCCACTCCCCAGGTGGACCCCGAGGCAGGGCAGGTTTGAGGGCGCACCTTAACATTTCCTCCTCCTCCAGGTCCAGTGCGCACAGTCCATCGTGGTGGTCGGAGGAGGCTCTGCGGGAGTGGAGATGGCAGCAGAGATTAAAACAGAATACCCTGAGAAAGAGGTAGGCCGGTGGCCTTGGCCTTGAACTCTCTGAGGCGGGCTTCTTTTTTGTCTGACGAACATCAGAATTTGCTCAGGGCCTGGGAGGGGAGCCCCGTTACCATAAAGTGGGAGCGTGTTTCCTGTCTCCTGCTCTCTGCACTGGGGGACCCCCTAAAGTCCCATTCTGCTGGGAATTTTACCTGGAGAGCCAGGGTACATCCTAGTTCAGTGAGGGGTTCTGCCCTCTGGGCCAACCCGGAGGACCACGCCCCAGGGGGATACATTATGAAAGGTTAACTCCCGCGTCCCCTGCAGTAATGTGGCCTTTGTGCTATAAACGTAGACTTTTGATGGCCTCTTTTTGCTAACAACCAGCTTGATCAAAGACACCTTCATCGGTGTCTTGTCTGGAGCAAGCACAGCCTTTTGGTCTTTAAGGGACAGTAGCCCTTGCCCTAGACAGCACGTAGGGGGACCCCGAAGTGTACACCTCACAGCCCATGCTGGGGAAGGACTGGCCAGCACTCCCTATTTTTAGTGATAAAGGGATGGAGACCCTGCCGGCATCCTGGAGAGAAAGGAAGCCGGCTGTAAAGGCTCAGCCTAGGGCTCAGTGATGATGAGCAGTTATGGGTCCGTGAGGCAAGAGCTTGCCTGCAGCTGATGGCAGATCAGCTTCTGGGAGCCACGTGGAGCCTGTGTCTGGTTCTTTTTCCCTAGGGAAAGGCAGGTTGGTTTTGAAAAGTAAGATAAATATGGGCTAATTTAATTATATGGCTATTCTCTGACAAATTATTGGAAATTATTATGGGTGGTTCATGTAGAAGTTTATTAATTTTGATTTATGGGGTAAAGACTGGTCTGAAGTAGTAAATAACTCAGTATAATTCCCAAATGTTTATAACTAATAGACAAATAAGAGTAATAGTAGCCACCCTTTATTAAAGAGGCACTATGTGCTAAGTTACGTGCTTTACACTTACTTTCTCGTTTCATCATTACAAAATTCCTGAGTAGGACTGTGATCCATCTTACTGGGTCTTCAGGAGGTGTCTGAGTGGGTATCTGAGATGGGATTTCAACCCAGGCAGTCTGATCTCAAAGCTCAAGCTTTGAACATCCCTGCGGGCTCCCTCTCACTTCACTGTGCTGACCCAGACAGCAAGTAGACATGCCTGGAAGCACCAGTTTTAGAGTCAGCCTTAATGTAAATGTCAGCCTGATTTACAGTTAGAATGTCGATGGCTTATATATAGACTGTATAAGTGCCCAAGGATGCTTGAAAATAATTTTCTACGTGGCCCTCGGTGAGGGGTGTGTTGTGAAGCATTGGCACTTCGGAAAAAATCCTACCCTGGGAGATGTGGGCTCCAGCCCAGCTCACCGTTAACTGGTTCTAGCACTGGGCAAAGTACTTCTCTGGGCCCTCAGTTTCCTCACCTGGAAACTGGAAGTTGGGGAGGAGGTGGGAGAGACAGGCTGATGTGTTTTCAAGCCTCTTTGTGTGAGCAGGAGACTCAGTGGCTCCTTCTCTGCCCTGTGGTTGTTTGTCCCCAGGTCACTCTCATTCACTCCCGAATGGCCCTCGCAGACAAGGAGCTCCTGCCCTGTGTCCGGCAGGAAGTGAAGGAGATCCTGCTCCGGAAAGGCGTGCACCTGCTGCTGAGTATGTGTCAGGCCCTTCCTGCCCTGCCCCTCTCCCTGGCCTGGTGAGACTTGGCTGAGGCTTGGTCCCTGCTCACAGCCTGAGCGTGGCCACGCTCAACCCCAGGCTCTCTGTGTCCTGAGGTGAGCCTGCAGAGCCTGTTTATTCTTGTCGTCCAGCTGGAGGTGTGTTCGTCCCCAGGCAGGGCAGAGGCCTCGGTACTTACGGGATTTTCCTGTCATGCAGGCAGCACTGTCCTGGCTGTTGCTTTGGATATAGTACAGGTGGTACCCATTTGTTGAATGGTTTAAAAAGTCATATAAAAGGGACTTCCCTGGTGGTCCAGTGGTTAAGACTGTGCTTCCAATGCAGGGGGCGCAGGTTCGATCCCTGGTCAGGGAACTAAGATTCCACATGCTGTGTGGTGAGGCCAAAAAAAAAAAAAAATCATATAAAAGATTTGACCTGAATTATGATCTCTCTTTAGTGGAGAGAATAGGTGTTTTGGGTTTGTATCTTGAGGGTGGTGGAGAGCGTGGCTTCTGTCCAGAGCAGAAGGGAAGAGACCTACCCAGCATGTTAGAGTGGGGCTCTCACCCGGGGGTGTGACCCCCCCCAGCCCCCCCACCCAGTTCACGGGCCCGACACTCTCACCTTTTGCAGGGTGGGCGAGGTGTCTGCTCTCTGAGAGCACTCCCGACTCCTGGGCTCCGCAGAAGTGGCTGTGCAGCCCTCTGCCCGCCTGCACTTCCAGGCAGTGAGGAGAGTGGGCCGGCCCTGGACTTCCCTTGCTTACCCCTGTCGGTGGTGAGCCCAGAGGGCTCATCTTGCCTGGTTAGGAGTGGACATTCAGGGAGGCGTGGTTGAGGTCTTCCTCAAATAGCTTTTCCCAGAACCTCTTGGGAAACTCGGCCTCACTTCCCCAAATTGCTTCTTGGAACTTGCTTTCCATCAGATCCCTTGGGGCCAAATGTCCAGATTGTGCTTCTTGGGGTGGCAGAGCTGACCGGTCTCCAGCCCCCAGGCCAGCCCTGGCTTGGGCCCCCGCCTCGGTGGCGTGCCTGACCTCTGCCAGCCTCCTGGTCACGGGCCTCCCCTGACAGGTGACCGGGTGAGCAACCTGGAGGCTCTGCCTCTCAACGAGCATCGCGAGCACATCACGGTGCAGACGGACAAAGGCGCGGAGGTGGCCGCCAACCTGGTGATTGCCTGCAGCGGTATCAAGATCAACAGTTTGGCCTACCGCAGCGCTTTTGGTAAGTGGGAGGCCGGGCTGTGACCCCCTCCCCAGGCTGCCTCCTCCCTCTCCAGCCCCCAGAAGGCCCTGCAGGCCTGTCCCCTGAGGAACTGGCACTGCACCCTCCCACCCCCAGCCCCAGTCTCAACAGCTCATTTGGTCTCTTCAAACTTTAAATTTAGGTTCAGGGCCACTCTTGCTGGGCTTTCCTCAGCTGTGTTAATGGTGATTTAGGCCACGGTGGCCAAAGTGACCAGAATCTTCCAAAATCGGATCCCACCCCCTAGTGGTGAGAGATGGGAACAGGTTTCAGAAGGAAGAAAAAGATCTATTTTTCTGTTACTTTCCTTGGAACACTGATGCACAGGAAATTCCAGGGTCAGGCCTTTCTCTGTTCACAGGTGTGCTGCTCTCCCCAAACCCTGACCCAGACGTTTGCCACTTGAGCTTGGAAACGATCATGGGGAGAGGGGGGTAATGAGGCCTCCGTTCGTAAAGCTGAATATTGACCTATTGAGCTAACTGGAGGTGGGGGGAGCTGGACCCATGGCTCCATCTGGGAGCTGGAGGCTCAGTGGCTCCTTCTCAGGCCCCAAGGTGGCCATGTCCCCAGGTCGCCATCATTTACTCCCAGATACCTTTCCTGGACAAGAAGCTCCTGCTGTGTGTCTGGCAGGAAAGAATTATCCAATCCCAGAAGGAACCTAGTCCAGACCATGTGTGGTGCTGGGATCGAGGGCTTATAATATACAGAGATCCCAGGACTTAACACCTAATGGTCCTAATGGTATGTTTTCAAAGGTAAATTCTTTTAAGTCCCTTAAAAAGAGAAGTTTATCATCTATTAAAGCCCTGCATTTATTTAAAAAAATCTGATCCACATTCAAAAGGAAATCCAAGACTGGGCTAGGTTGTAACTTAATCATCATAAGTGAATCATTGTTAATCGTGGTAACTTACAAAGAGTCACGCGCGTTATATGAAATGACACTTGCTGGTCTTTCTGACCAGTTTCCACCCCAAAATAGTAACCTCGCCTTTGCAGGAAGAGTTCTGAGGGGGGGACTTCAGGCAGAAGTAAACCAGACAGGTTTGCCTCTTGAGGATGTGCCTTTGGAGGGTAGCTGGACCGGCACCACAGCCCATCCTCACTGTGTTCTGGTGACCACTTCTTGAGGCAGCTCAGGATCTTGGTTTCGGCCTGGTTTTCTGGCAGGTGATCAGCTGGCCAGCGATGGCGCTCTGAGAGTGAACGAGTACCTCCAGGTGGAGGGCTACAGCCACGTCTATGCCATCGGTGACTGCGCCGATGTGAGGGAGCCCAAGATGGCCTATCACGCCAGCCTCCACGCCAGTGTCGCTGTGGCCAACATCGTCAACTCCATGAAACAGAGGCCCCTCAAAGCCTACAAGCCAGGTCAGGAAGCTCCCCACGCGGCACAGTTTTAAGAGAGTCGGGGTTAGAAACAGTGAAGCCTTTGTGGGCTTTATGATGCCTGACCACTAGAACACACTCTCAAAGCTGGGGACAGAAACCTCGCCCAGAGCTCTAGGAAAGTATGTCAGGGACTTGCCCACGTTCCTGAAGGCCTTACGCATTTCCCTGCCCTAACACTGAAGGCCCCGGGAAGGGTCTGTGCCCTGGGGGTTGCAGGCCCATGGATGGTGAGCAGGATTCTAGTTTGGCGCACGGCTCTGCTTCACAGGTTCACTGACGTTCCTCCTGGCCATGGGGAGAAATGACGGCGTGGGCCAGATCAGTGGCTTCTACGTGGGGCGGCTCATGGTTCGGCTGGCCAAGAGCCGGGACCTGTTGGTCTCCACGAGCTGGAAAACCATGCGGCAGTCTCCACCCTGATGGGGAGGCTGGGCGGGAGATAGGTACTGTCACCGCCCGGCGATCAGATTTCTTGACAAATGGTTCCTGCTTGACAAATGCCAAAGGGCAAAAGCTCTTTTCCTGGAGTAAGATGTCAGTGATGTACTTACCAGAAACACAACTTAGACAAAACCAAAAACTGGGAGAGAGAGAGAGGGATATTGGTGTTAAAAAAAAAAAGACACCCTTAAAGGAGTCTTTCTGTTTCAAAGGTCTGCTTGCACTTGTGCTGGCTGAATGGTTCACTTGGTCCCGGGGAGGGCACAGCCCACCTTCTCTACCCCAGCCTCCTCTTGGGTGTGTGTGTGTGTGTGTGTGTGTGTGTGTGTGTGTGTGTGCGCGCGCGCGCACACATGGTGTGTGGCATTCAGAGCTCTCAGAGTAGGGGCGAGAGCTCAGTATCCTGGTGGCAGGAAGGGTCTCCCTGTCTGTAAGGGCAGGAAGGAGGGCCTGCACAAGGAGACCAGCTAAGGAAGGGGGACTGGGGTGGAGAGATGGCCTACATCCCAACCTCTCCCATCACATTAGGAGGTGGGGAAGCCTATAACATCCTGCAACACTCAGGTTGTTAATAGGAGCTTAATTTTAAACTGTTAGTCCCTACCGTCTTTAATCTTCATGAATCTTTCTATATTTCTATTTTTAGATCCTGATTATATACCATAGGTTGTATTTAAGAAGTGTTAAGTAAAATTTCCCTCCTTGTGAGTCCATCTTAATGGAGAGTGAGTTTTTTACAAAGCTAACGGGTTAAGACAGAAACCTGGCCTGCCACCTGCTGGGGGTGTTTAAAGAAAGACAGCCAAGCTAGCGTGACCGTCGGGTGGGTCGCCATCCAGCTAACTTTCGGGGAGCAGAGGGGGTTTCAGTAGGTGAACCCCCGCGTGTTTCCAGGCTACTGTCTTAGGCAAATTTGTAAGTGACAAAACTCCAGCCAATGCTGGGGCAGGGGTACCCTGTGGGAACCTTTGTAGTTTTGTGCTTCTGGTTTCTTGGTCAACCCCAATGTCACTTATCTGGAGGCGTAGCCATGTGGCAATAATGCCTGCCACCAATTATGTTAAGGTATAAAAATGACTCCTCTGTTTGGGAGAGGACTTCTAATCAGGATAAACCTATTTTGGACCACATAGGCGAGATCTCTAAGGCAGAAGTTGTTGATGAGTTCATCTGAATAAATTCAGGCCCTGCCGCTCCGCAGCATGTGGGATCTTCCCGGACCGGGGCACGAACCCGTGTCCCCTGCATCAGCAGGCAGACTCTCAACCACTGCAGCACCAGAGAAGCCCCCTGCCCACTTTTAATGGTAACCTCTGGGTACTTGGCCGGAATTCTTAGGATACCACCCTCATGAGGGTTCTTGGTCTGTTCTGTCTGGGCTGTGGCCCAGGTCTGTTCCATTTTGTTGCCCAGGCCTAAGTGAGACTGTGCCTTTGTCCCAAAGGATGGCCACCCCAGGGAGGCTTCACCCAGTCCTCCATTCCCGTGGACCACAGCCAACCAGGCTCCCCTTCTGGAAGTGGGACCTGTTGCCTGAGAAACACAAGCCATTCCATGCCGTCTGACCTGGGGCCTAGCATGCTGGGAGTCTCAGCTCCATAGTGATAGGCCTGGTTCTATATATAACATTCTTAAGTTTCCACCCATAGGGACACAGTTCTCCAAACTGAGCAAGATGTTACAATAAAAGAGTATGTTGTAAGAAAGACACTGGATCTTTTATTTTTTTTCCTTTCATTTTCTTTTTCTTTAAAAAAAAACAAAACAAAACAAAAGCCTGAAGCAAAATCTTTCTAGGAGTAGTTACAGATATTATAGGGGTAAGGGTAGGGGCACTAAAACTGAAAGAAAAGCACCAGTAAGATGCCTTTCTAATTTTCTTCTCTCCATCACTGAATACAGACAGCCAACAAAGCCCAAGTCACTTCTTTGCCCTCCTCCCTTGCAAAAAAGGAGAAACAGATTTTAAGAATTTTGAAAGGATTTTGTGTATGTGAGTGTGTAAAAGTCAATGCTATAAATCTAAAACGAAGTCTGTTTTTTTAAAAAAGTTCTAAAACAACAGGAAAAAAACACATGGAAAGAAACCCCTGGTGGAGACCTGGTTAATTATAGACTGAGGCTCTTTTTAACGAGAATATAAAATGCAGAGGGCTCTTCCCGTGGGCAGGACCTGCTCCCGCAGCCTCTGCCACCCGCTTCCCTTTCAGCTGCCCTCCGCTCCCCTGCCGTCACCCTTCCTCTCTCCTTTTAAAAGATAAAACCGCTCCTGTGACTTTGATCCTCCTGATTCCGGATGGTGAGCGTGGTGGCCACCAGTGGGTGTGGGGCGGCTACTTGGCATCAAGCTTGGCCATCTCCTGCACGTAGATGCCGATGCTCTCGCTGTCGAAGAGCAGGAAGTAGACGTTCTTCAGTGAGGATGCGCTCGAGTCGTCGAAGTGGGCCGAGATGGCTTTGAGGGTCACCTGGGCTGCCGTCTGTTTGGGGAAGCAGTTTCTGTGCCAAAGGAAGAGAAGAGCTGACGTCACTTTGGTCCTGGGACCCATGGAGTAACTCTGCCGTCAGCCCGGGGTAGGGGCCATGTGGTTCCTTCTCATCTTGGCAGCAGGTCCTTGTTCCTATCCCTCGGGGTCTTACCATGTGCAGGCTGGTCCACGCATGATCCCCTTTCACCTCAGAAGAGGGACAGCCCAGGAGGGGGACAGACAGGGCACACTGTCCCCACTTCACATATGCCACACTGGCTCAGAGTGGCACAATGGTTTTAAGGCTGGCTGGTGAGCGGTGGCCTGTGTTTGAATCTATGTGGCCTGACTCAAGTCCAGCTGAGCTTTAAAAACTACCAACTCAGCTAACACAACATTGTTAATCAACTATACTCCAATATAAAATAAAAGTTAAAAACAAACAAACCCTACCAACTCAGCATTTTAAAAAGCCAATATAGGGCTTCCCTGGTGGCGCAGTGGTTGAGAGTCCGCCTGCCGATGCAGGGGACACGGGTTCGTGCCCCTGTCTGGGAAGATCCCACGTGCCGCGGAGCGGCTGGGCCCGTGAGCCATGGCCGCTGAGCCTACGCGTCCGGAGCCTGTGCTCCGCAACAGGAGAGGCCACAGCAGTGAGAGGCCCGCGTACCGCAAAAAGGAAGGAAAAAGAAAAAAAAAAAAAAAGCCAATATAGGGAATTCCCTGGCGTTCCAGTGGTTAGGACTGCATACTTTCACTGCCGAGGGCGTGGGTTCAATCCCTGGTCAGGGAACTAAGATCCCATAAGCCTCGCAGCACGGCAAAAAAAAAAAAAAAGACAGTATAGGTTTTATTAGTTCCCTCAAAACTGGTTTATATGCTGAACAGATTGTTTATTAAAGGGCAATAATGTATGCTCAAAAGTACGTCTTCATTAATTCCTGTTTCATGCATTTCGTGTTCCTCTCGCTAACCTGTGTGGACGTGCCAATGTAATTTGAGCAGTGACGATTCTGGGCAGGGCCCCAAAAGCCCCAGGATGCCATGGTGGAGCTGTGTGCCAGGGACGCAGCCATTGTGACACCCCTGGTCGTTTGGGGTCAGCCACCAAGCCCCTTGGGCAGGTCCAGGATTGGCCCGCCTAATAAGAATTCTCACTCGGCTGCCCCGTCCCAATCCCAGAACATCTCGGGCACGTGGGCCCAGCTATGCAAAGAATTCAACCTGCAGCGCCTCCGGGCCAGGCTGTGGAGACCCAGCGTGGCCTGCTCAGGTTGAGATAGGATCAAGGCAGGAAGCTAGGCCTCATTCCTTCCTTCTTCGCCTTCCTGTGACTCGGCTGTAACAGAATGTCTTCAGAGTGTAAATCATATCTGCGCTACAGAGGGGCTTCTGAGGAGAAAGGGTGTTCAAAATTAAAGCAATAACTCACATTGGCTGTGAGCGTGAGGGGAGAGGCCCTGCTACACGTGAGGGCAGACAGCCTCATTATTTACCTGAAATACTGCTCCCGTGCCCAGTCGGGGTCTGTGGCAATTAGAGCAATCATTTCTCCAACCCCTAAAAGTAAGCCCCTGCTGAGAGCCTTTCACTTCTCCAGCCTCAGCCTCGAGGCTCTCCCAGCCCCAGAGCAGCACCGGAATCCCCTGGGGATTCTGCGATTATTGGCATCCTAACCCCGTGGGCTCTCTGCTGCTGGTCTGTGGACCACACTTGGAGGAGCAAGTGCCTTTGAGCCTGGTGTTTCGGATCCAGTGCTCTAGACTGGGATAGCTGGCAGGAACGTGGGCTTTCAACACAGCAGGCTCTCAAAAGAGAACTCTGCCTCCTGCTCCTCCCAGAACGGGCTTTCTCCCTGCATTTTTTTTTTTTGCGGTACGCGGGCCTCTCACTGCCGTGGCCTCTCCCGCTGCGGAGCACAGGCTCTGGACACGCAGGCTGAGCAGCCATGGCGCACGGGCTCAGCTGCTCCGCGGCATGTGGGATCTTCCCGGACCAGGGCACGAACCCGTGTCCCCTGCATCAGCAGGCGGACTCTCAACCACTGCGCCACCAGGGAAGCCCTCTCCCTGCATTTTGAAGGATGGAAACTGTGTCTCTTGCTCTATCGCCTGGTCAGCGTGCTTGGCTGTGCTGGCAGCCCTTGGTCACGTCCTCTGGGATGGCCAGACTGGATGTGACCAAGTGGGGGAGCAGCTGGTCCCCAGCGAGAAGGCTGGACAAGCGGACCCAGCACCCTTGCCGCCCCCCTGGAGAACATCTTACCTGCCGCTGGGGAAGGGCGGGAACGCCACCGACTTCAGCTTCTTGTCCTCTGCTGCCGACAGGCAGTTTTTGATGGTCTCTTCAAGCTGTTCTTCACATTTGTCGGAGCCCCACTGAGGGATGTGACAGTGGATGACGAATTTGGCTGCAAGTCCGCTGGACTGGCTGACGGCGGCTGGGACACGACAGAGAAATGCCGCAGGTTATTTCCTGCGTCTTCACCTTAAGCCAGGGAGTTAGGCTGAATCGCCTGTGTCCCTCTTAGGAGAGTAGGAGCCGTATCAGAATTGCTTTTGACAGTTGGCACAAGCTTTGGGTAAACACACTGAAAGCTGATGTGACAGCCTGTCACACACTCTCACGTGGTCTGCCTCCTGGCCACAGGTTAGGTGACTCCTAATCAAAGGTGGAATCGTCTCTGATCCCTGGAAATTGTGAATGTTTCCTTACATGGCAAAAGGGTCTTTGCTGGTGTGATTAAGTGAAGGATTGTGAGATGAGAAGTTTACCCTGGACTCTCCAGTTGAGCCCTAAATGTAATCACACAGGTCCTAATAAGAGGGAGGCAGGGAAGTCAAAGGTAGGAGAAGGCGCTGTGATAAAGGAACAGGGGTTGGAGTGATGCGTCCAGGAGCCAAGGAATGCAGGAGCCTAGAAGCCACAACAGGCAAGGAACGGCTGCTCTGAGAAGGAACCAGCCCTGCCAGCACCTTGATTTTGGCTTCTTAAGACTCACTGTGGGGAATTCCCTAGCGGTCCAGTGGTTAGGACTGCGCCAAGGGCGTGGGTTCAATCCCTAGTCGGGGAACTAAGGTCCTGCAAGCTGCGCAGCGTGGCCAAAACAAACAGACAAGAAAACTGCCTAAAAAAATAAAGGTTATAAAAAAAAAAAAAAAAGACTCATTGTGGACTTCTGACTCCAGAACGCTAAGACAATACACTTGTGTTGTTTGTTGCTACCAAGTTTGTGCTAATTTGTTAGAGCAGCGATTGGAAACCAATGCAACGGCTTTTTAAAAATGGACAAGCCCTCCCCTCTTGCCCCGTCTGAGATCCTGACTTGGTAGGTCTGATGCAGGCCTTGCGCTTGGTGATTTGAGGACCCTCCATAAATTTAGAACCGATCTACTGGGTTGTATGCATCCTCAGATAGGGACTGCCCTTTTGATCATCTCTACATACCTGAGGAGCCTACAGGGAGCAAGTGTTCACAGCAGGTTGTGAAATTGGATTATGCCTGCCTTGTCTCATAATTTCAGTTCATACTCCCTACTTTTATTTATCACCCCCCCAAACCTATTTCCCATCAGTGACAGAGCTGCTAACGAGGAGCACCAGGCAAGTCCCTGTGGCCATTGATCCCTGGAGAAGGGGCTGGGCCTGATCCACTGGCCACTCTAACCCCACATTGCTGCTTGCCCCTAAGCTGCCCACCTTGTGGAGTTGGGGCTCTGTGCCACTCAAGGAGCCGGGTGTAGCAAAGGTCCCCAACCCTCCCACAGTGGCCAGGCTCTGGGAGCCTGGGGGAGTTCGGGCAGGCTGTGGCCGCTACGGGCTGTGTTTGTAAAAAATGTGTGTGTGTCTGTTTTAGGGCAGTGTGTGGGGTTGGTTTGAAAGACTTATTTGAAATATATGATGCCCGCCCAGCATGTGAGCCGTGTTTCCTAGCGACGCCCACAGTGCTGGAGAGGCTATGACTGCACATGCCAGGGCTGGTGGAGACAGATGCAAGGGGCGTCCCCCGCCTGTCAGCTACGGCTGTGAACGCCTCGCCTTCCCAGTGCCCAGCTGGTGCCAACCATCTGATTAGTGAATGAGTGAGTGAACGAATCAGTCAATATAAATACTGAGGAGGCAGTGGGCATGGCTGGTTGACTCTACGACCTTGTACATTTGCACACCAGAAACGGAACGTCCCTGTCAGCCTTGTAGTCCAAGGGAACCCAGTACCCTGGGGATGGGCCCTTCCT